ATCCACCAATTGACAAATACCACTTGAAATTTCCCAATTGACATACTCTAAATGGACATACACCAATTGACATCCACCAATTGAAATACCAATTGAAATACCAATTGACACACACCAATTGACTTACACCAATTGACATATACCAATTGAAATACCGGGCCAGGAACAGCCTCCAGTTGACGAACCTCACCCTCAAGGACCCAAAACAAGAACCGTGCATTCTAAAGCAAACCCATATATCCTCCTGGGGCCAGGCTCGCGGCTCCCTCCACCACCGCGCCCGACACGGTGCGCGCACGCCCGCCTCCACCACAACAGCCGCCGTGTTCAGAAAAAAGCCATCTGGCACCTCCAACCGCCTTCTTTCCACCAGACATTTCTAGGTGCAACCCCCCAAACCTTAACCAAAAAAAAAACCCACATATCCGCAATGGCAGTTCTTGCGGTTTCCATCTGCTCGCACGGCGGCAAGGCGCTAGTGGCGCGTCAGTTCAGAGACTTGAGCCAGGACCGGATCACGGAACTTTTGGCCCACTTCCCCTCGTTGCTTTCGGGCTCCGGGGCACAAAACACCACAGTGGAGACGGACGCGGTGCGCTACGTGTACCAGCCGTTGGAAGAGTACTACGTGGTGCTTTTGACAAACAAGCAGTCCAACATTCTCCAGGATATCGACACGTTGCACCTCTTTGTGCTGGTGGTCAGCAACATGTTGCGGAGCATCGACGAGAAGGAGATCTACAGCAACGCGTTCGAGCTCTTGAGCGCGTTCGACGAGATCGTCAACTTGGGCCACCGCGAGAAACTCAACTTGTCGCAGGTGCAGAGCTTCTTGGAAATGGACTCGCACGAGGAGAAGATCCAGGACATCATCGAGCGCAACAAGGAAATGGAGGCCACCGAGGAGCGCCGCCGCCGTGCCAAGGAAATCCAGCGCAAGGAGTTGGCGCGCCGCAACATGGAGCTGCAGCACGCGGCCGTCTTTGGCGCCGCGGGCCAGGCCCCGCCCGCCCACAACTCGCTGGACGCGTTCGGCTACACCTCCGCGCCGTCCGCCGGTCCGCTGTATGGGAACCCGCCCCGCGCGCCCGCGGAGACGCCGGGGCCCGGCTCCGCGCCGCCGCGCCCGGCCGCCGGCAAGGGCTTGCAGTTGGGCAAAAAGCCCCTGCGGCCCGCCGCAACCGAGCAGAAACAGCCGCTTCTCGCCGCCCGGCCACCCGCGGCCGCGCCGAGCCCCGGCATCCCCGAAGCGGCGAGCTCGGCGTCCGCGTCGCCCGGGCCGCAGCAGAGCGGCGGAGCCAAGGCGGCCAACGCCGGCATTTTGATCACGCTCAACGAGAAGATCACCGCGCAGTTGCACCGCGAGGGCGGCGTGTCGGCGTCGGAAGTCAAGGGCGACCTCAACTTGCGCATCAACAACGCCGCGTTGGCACGTGCGCGCCTCTTGTTGCGTGTGGGCACGCAGGCGGGCATCCAGTACAAGACCCACCCCAATGTGGACCGGGCGTTGTTCCTGGCCGACAGCAGCATCGGCTTGAAGGACCGCGCCAAGCCCTTTCCCAGCAACGACCAGAGCTTGGGCGTGTTGCGCTGGCGGGCCGCCGCCCCGGCCGACGATGCATCCTTGGTGCCCCTCTTGCTCACGGCGTGGGTCAGCGTGGACGGCGGTGTCGCCGACGTCAACTTGGAGTACGAGTTGACGCCCGCGTTCTTGGACGCGCACCCGCTGGTGGAGTCTTTCGACGGCGTGCAGATCTTGGTCCCGGTGGTCTCCGACGACGTGATTTTGAAGGAGGACTCGTCGGGACACGTGTCCTACAACGCCACCGACGACGGCGTGGTGTTCTCGCTCGCGCACATCGATACAGCCGCCGCGCTGGGCTCTTTCGAGTTCTCCGTGCCCGTGGACTCCGAGGATAGCTTGTTCCCCATGCAGATCGCATTCCACTTGTCGCGCACGAGCGGCGTGACCGAGTCCGACGGCCTGTTCGGCAAAGTGCTGGTCATTGACGTCGTGTCCAACGACGACGAGGAGGAGTCGCTTCCGTTCAACTTGCACCAGAACTTGACCTCCGAGAGCTACTCTGTGGTCTGAGAAGAGACGAAAGGAGCATGACTTTGGCAAGAGACGAAAGGAACAAGATATCGGGCAGCGGACGTGGCCGGGCCTACCGTTGCGTCGAGTAAGAAAAGCCGAACTGGATGTTGCCTGCGCGGCTTGGTCATGTGCTACACGGACTCGAAGTCCTGCTTCGCACGCCGGCTTCATATATACGATAGATAAATAAAAGGAAGCGGCGACCCCAACGGATGTTTGCCGCCCTTTTCACACCACCACCAGCACCCCGTTCGTGGCAATGGAAATGCTCAAGCGCAAGCCTTGCGTGTCGTTGAGCTCACAGAGCTCCTTCATGATTCGGCGTCGGGGGTCCTTGCCGTCATACGTTTCCTTGACATGTGTGACAATCACTTTCAAGTCCCGGACAAACGGTGCAGTCGCAGAGCCTTCATTGGTTTGGGCGCAAGCAGTCTCTAGTCTTTGCAACTCGGCCATCACGTGCTGCGGTGTCATGTGGCCGTACAAGTTGATGCCTGGTTCCCTGCTATGTGTGGAGCATTCGAGAATCACGCATTTTAGTGAGCCGTCAAGCACGAACGGCGCCACGTACATCCAGATGAGAGAATTCCTCTCCAGGCGCAGAATCGAGTCGGCCTCGAAGTCGCCAAAAATAAGCATTTTCGCTCGGCTCGTGTTGTCACACACTAGAAACGCCAGTGACATGTACGGCTCGATGTACTGGCCGTTGTTGACGACTGACCCGTGCGACAAATCGAAATGCTTGACTGAATAGGCGCCGCTGGCCATACTAAGAACCCCTCTTTCCGGAATTGGCCGCAAGTCGACCAAACCTAGCAGAACCATATCTGGCCACATCACGCCATTGAAGACGTGTTTGTTCAATGCATCTGTCGTGAACTTCGACGCGTATATGACAGTCTTTTCCCCGGCGTCGGAGAACCCGGCCAGATTGATCACCATTGCTTTTACATGGTCCATGTGAGGGTGTGACAAGAGCATCGCAGCCACTTTAGAAAATACACGCCTCAGTGCAATCAACGGTGGGTCCTTGAGATCCAGGAACGGCTGGCTGTGTGGGATTTGGAGATACTCTTGTGGAGTCCCACAGTCCTCGTATAATGCCATTTGGGTGGAGAATCTGGATGGGGCTTCTGTGCTTCCTCCACTTTTTGTTCGATCTCTCAAAATGGTTTCTGCAAGTGCATGCCAACCAGAGCCAGCATCAATCATGAAGAGGGGCCTGTCTCGGCCCTGTAATACCTGTGAATAAGTGAGAGATGCAGGTTTCACCAAAATCGAACAGTTTCCAGATTCCAGCGGCCCACCTGAAGTGCCTATAAAGGTGATTTCATAGCTCATCAGCGAACTAGAAAGAACTAGCCGCGATATGTCACCAAGATGGCGGCCGACTGTGGTGTGTTTTGAAGCCTTGAGCGGTCTAGGAATAGCAGATCAACGCAAAGCTCCGATCTATAAAGAAATATGCACAAAAATCTTAAAAGCAGAGTTAGATATTTCACTCGACACCACTGCAGGGCTTAGGACCTCCAAGCCTTGGATTTCTTAGCGGTGAGAAGTGGAGAAGCGATAAGTGATCAGCCGTGTATGCCGGAGTATATCTCACGTCCGCTAGTCTGCATAAAGTTGCCATCGACGCATGCACGATAACGAATAGGGGTATTTTTGAGATGGGCTCCAATCCAAATACGTTGAGAAGATCATGCTGGTTCACGCATGCTTATCTGAGATAAATATGACACGAAATTTTAAAATATGTTTGATGTGTCTGCAGTTGGCTAGAGAGCGGTCTTTGGATTTGGCTTGCTAGTGGACTTTGACCGCGCATGTTTGGATAAAACGCCAAGAAAACCGTCCGCGTCATGTTCTAAAATACTTCCAAATATAGTTGAGATGTTCGTGTGCCTCAACGTTGATGCATTGTGGGGCAACTTCATAACCACACAAAACTCAAATATTCTGTCATCTTCGTAGTATACATTCAAATTCCTTTCGATCTAGATCTTATGAGTTTGTGAAAAATTAGGGCCTAGTCAAAATGTTATGAGGCTTCTCCTTGTGGCCACGCTCTCGTACGTTTGCCGCGTGTAAGGTCCCCCCTATCAGCTCAACACTGACGGGCCTGTAAGGACGTACTCTTCTATATGCATTTCTGTTATGAGCTGTGTCACATCTCATGTCGCTCCCCTCATATATATTCTTTCTTTTTTCATGGCCTTTCTTTCATCGAATCAGATAAGTAAGAGAGATCTGCTTCCCCATGCTAGTTTTGTAAGTCAGTGGTACATACGAGTCCAAAAAGAGCGATGAGTATTTTCTTGTTAGTATATAAGCAATTCTTTGTCTAGTCAGGAATTGCACTGTAAGGTGTAGGTTTTTAATCATTTCGCATGATATCTTGAAACCTAACACATGGCTCGGTAAACAGATATTGTGAAACGTAGTAACATCGGCTCGCAATACTCAGTCTAAATGAATAAAACTTCGTCGTCAAAAATAAGCTAACAGGGCTATGATTACATATTTGATCTAAGCAAAAGCCCAACATAGATCAAGAGACGAGTTTTTACATGAAGTACCGTCTGTTTTTTGCCGAGCCTGAAAAAACCTCTCACCACCACAGTCTAACATCACATTTAAAGTGTCTGGCAAAACGCAACGCAAGTGTAGTGAGACACTTCAAACATATTGAGTGAAACAAGTCTTTCTGGCATCAGTTATTTTACTACTTCAAAATGCCTGTCGGGGTTCCTGGAAGTTTTGCAAAAACATGATACAAGGTCCCTGCAATACAATTAGCATGAGTCTGCTTCTAGAATGACTAAAACTCTTTGCAAACTATTTTTGCAATTTACAGACTCGAATTCAAAACTTGTTTTTGTTTTAAATCATTCATCGGAAGGTTGCAGTAGCATCGGAAGATTGTAGTAGCATCACAGGATTGCAGTAGCACCGAACGTTGGCAGTAGCATCAAAAGGTAGTAGTAGCATCAAGATCTAGTGGCATCACAAGATTCTAGTAGCATGAAAGGGGAAATAAAGACATCGGTATGAACGGGCACTTTTGCAGTGGGGTGTTCGTCTGCGCAGATTAGTGGCCCATAGATACGCCGGCTCTAGAAGCCTCCGGGCCATCCCTATTTCGACAAATCACAGGATCATTTTTCCCCCTTCCATCACTCAACTCTTCAGATAATATCAGCGACAATAAAAAGACATGGACACTTGCAATTCTAAGATGTGATGTCAAACACCAGGGTATAGTTTGACCTAGATTAGGTGTTTCCTCTTTCGTGCACGTTGACACTAATCCTTCAAGCCTCTAGCAATCAGATATTTCTGCGCTCATAGCCTTTTTGGCGGATGTGAGGGTTTCGCTCCATGAAAGTTCAGTTAGAGGGCGGCGAGTCAATCTCTGCTGCAACTGGAATGAACCCCCCGTGTAACTAGAACGCCTGCGAACATGCATCCGAGAAAACTAGGGCAAAACGGAAGATGCATGTCAAGTCATTTCTATTAAAACAGGATAGCGGGTGTTGCCCGTATCAACCAAGAACGTAATAGACACAGTGTGCTGGTATTTTTGGTACTAGTACAGAACACAGTGAGTACAGTAAGCTGGTATTTTTGTCAATACAGGTCATCACATGAAACTTAAGCTAGTGGTGATCATAAAAGTTTAGATCTTAGTATCAGTTTTTGCCGATGATCTCCGAAAGCACCTGCTCCCTCTTTGTACGTCGGTTGTGGGTGCAGTCAGATATCATGTCGAAGCCCTAATGAAATGTCGTCCAACATCCAAAACCTTTCCCCATTTGATCCACGTTGTCCAAATACCAGAACTGTGGCCCATATTATTTCAAACCTGTGATAATATAGGGCAGAAGCACGTATGTTCTCCCGGGGTCCCTCACAGTTATTTTGCAACTCGACATAGATGTCGATCCGCGAATCGACAGCCTGATTTCGCAGCCATACTTTGTTAGGCCGCAGACTGCAAAAAGTGACATTTTCTATATAAACAGGTGTTCGCTCCACCTTCTGCAAACTCTCTTCCATTACTCCCTTCTTTACGAACATACGCTCCATCATGATTGCACAAATGATTTTTTGCTTCAGACTCATCAATTGCGTTTCGGAAATCGCTGCGCTTTGCCTCACAGGCTATTTTCTTGTCGTGCTCCTTATTGAACTCTCGGTCCAGGCAGAATCTGCCACCATGGACTTGAACGCTGTTCAAATCGAAGAATACCACTCTGGCCCCTTTGGGGCTGAACCTGAGATTGAGACTCGTGGAAACACTAACGCTGATTTCACCTCTATTCAAATTGCTGCTGCCTCTGCTGCATTTCATCCCAGATATTCAAAGGCCACAGAAACAGATTGCTTTACTGCCTTCTTTCCATCAAGCGACGGTAGCTTTTTGGAATTTTCCGACGGAGACACTGGTGCTTCTTCCGTTCTTTCTTTCAATTCAGAATCTAAGCTTGGCTCCTCGGCTGGTGGTATCTTTATGAAGCCAGCCGTAGTTGTAGACTGTACTGAGACTGATGAGATCAAAAGAACGCAAGGAGACTTGTTCCTGGACAACAATTCTATTTTCAATGGGGAACTTGAGATCCCCAAAATGGAAGCCATTGCTCTTCTGCCTGACGCTAACCCAGATATTGACATGGAGTCTGAGTGGCAAATTCAGGGGAGAAAGCGCAGAAATTCTCGCAAAAGAACCGGCACAAAAGTGAAGACAGTTTTTGGGACTGAGGCAACTGTTTCCGAAAAAAAACTCGCCAGTGAACCAGAATCCGCTGTAGCTGGTTCTTCTTTTTCTAATAATCCTTATCTGGTTTTGGCTGACATCGATGAGAGTGACTATCAGGAATCACGCCCAAGCAGACAATACAAGAAAGTTCCTGGAAAGCTCGAGCTCTCTTCTCTTGAAAACGTGATTCCTGACAGCTCTCTGGCCATGGGCTTGACTATGGGAAACAACGAAATGCTCAACCTGAATGTAGCCTGCAATATCATGGACATGGCTTGTGAATCTATTGATGAGAAAGACCTGGGACTGAGCCAAGAATACACTCAGAATTCGCTCCAAGAATCTCCTCAAGACGCGGGAGAGGATCTGGGCTCCAAACATGTCGGAACTACCGTTGAAATGTCTGATATTTTGGTATCTAATATTTCTGATGATGGTTGGAAAGTTCAAGGCAGGAAACGCAGAAATTCTCGGAAAAGACCTGAACGGAGCGTCACCATGGCGACAACACCGGGATCAAGCCTGACTGATCAGAGGGGTTCTTTGGGGTCAAACCCATCAATGAAACCGCCCTCCTCTAATTTGAATCCTTTCCTGGTGTTGGCTGAAATAAGCGAAGAAGACTTTCAACAAGCCCCACCAAGAAGATATTTATGTCTCGAAAACTGAGACAATTGCTGGCCACTGGGTCAACAGCGCCGTGCTACCAATTTGATAGCCACATCACTCGTAGACTGATGAATAACGGTTGAAACAGGCTATCTATTTGTTTTGAAACAAAAAAAAAATCAAAAAAAAATCAAAAAGAAAAAAAAAAAAATCAAAAAATCATCGGTGAGGTCTTCGCCTCTTCGATGTTTTCTCCACTCGTAAGATATATAGGAATAAACAGAACTCTACATTTACAAATCACTAACAAGTCTTGATGCTGGATCATAATCAATACGGTGCCCTTCTCATATTCATTAAGATTGCAAGTGTTGTTCCATAATAATAAGTTGTATTGATAGTCTTTTTGTGTATGAGTTTCCGTCTTCGATTTGAGTAGAAGGCAGACTTAGTGCTGAGAAACGTAGATCTTTTGAGTTCAAGTAAACCTTCGGAGATCAGGGAAAGAGCATTAAAAAATGCAGAGAGAGATTTGGCCAAATTGAAAGTAATACTTGTTTGATTTCCGTAAACAACTCTCTCATATTGTGGACTTGAAAGAGCATACCACGCGTAGCAGAGTTCTCGCCCTCAGTAACTTTATTTCGCAAACGGATGATTTGTATTTCTTCCTGAAAGTCTGCCTCAATATAACTGTTTTCAACGGATACAATGATTCGAAACACCCCTGATCGAACCCAACTTCTCTATCAGCTAAAGATCTGTAAATTTGGCACTCTTGAACATTTTATCATGCCCGCTATCTTCGTGGTGTCGTACTGATGGAATATTTCATCTTAAGATCAACGCTTCATTAAAGCGTTTTCAAACTCAATCGGCCCGCAGTCAAATCATTTGAATATTAGTTCTGAATCCAGCTCTTAGTTCTGAAAGCACCTAAGCACCGGCTAATTCAAGTATTTGTGCAGAGAGTGAGTACATCAAATACAGTCTTTTGTTAAAACATTGCATCTGTACACATTCAGATACTTGATTTCAGGACCTCCCAAAGAATAAAGACTATTGAAAATCAACAAGTGATCACATCATCCCTATTTGCATTATCAACCTCTTCAAACGATCATCTTTTGGATTCAACATATTCAACCTCACCAATGTAACAGGATTGCGCCACTAATACTTAATCTATATAAGTATTTGGAGTTTGGCGATGAGCCGGGTCTATGCTTTAGCAGGGGTCAATACAGCTCAATTATTCCTCATTGTTTCAGCCCCTAATTATACTAATTTTTTGGCTCGATCTCTTTCGTTTTTTATTGTGGACAACTATATGGTGGTAGGCTTGAAACTTGCTCAAGTTTAATTAACTGGATTTGTCTGACATTTTGCACAGCTCAAATGAAATCTTGGGTGCGTCTTTTGCCCACAGATTTGAGCCGTTTTTTCTTTGGGGCCGACAATCCACTCTCAATCTCATATATCCTACTTTATCATGGGCACCACGGAAAGTCGACCTCTATATTGCGGATAAACTAGAAACCGAAATTTCGTTCTTTTCACTCACTCAGACTATTGACGTAACGTAATCTTGAATTCTAGTGGCTGAATATTGCTGAGGTCAGCAATTATCTAGCAAATAACTTGCAGACTGCCTTGAATTATCACGAATGATTAGCAAAAGGCCAAATCACACCGCCTTAAGTTATTTGGCCTCTATTTCTTCTTATCGGCTTTAGTTTCATTACCTGAAAAATGGTGTTTTTCAGAACTTTATGGTACTGCTCAGGTCCCAGAAAAAGGAACGCAAACCTTTCCAACCTTGCTTTTAACTGCGCTTTCTTGACTATTTGCGTCTATGGTTTAACTGCCCCAAAGACTTGCTTCTCGATTCACATAATACAAGCTTTCGCTTTTCAGAGGAGCTTTTAAAAGAATAGGCAGTTTTGCGGGTTGTTTAAAGGACTCAAGTATAGAAGCAGGTTTGAAAAGGAAACTGGATATTATCTACTGCTAAGTAGTCTCATAAAGTACCCCTAGATAATGCGGGCGAGCTAGCGATGAAACCCACATTTGGGGTTCCGGGCGTCCACCTTTCTTGTGCCTATAGTATCAGGATTTTTCAAGCAACATGCCACACACTGTTCACAGGAAAGCTTCTTCTATGAGACCCAAACCCAAGATGAATGTGTAGTATTTTCGTACGTACAGTTTTCTCCGACTTCGACACGCTGGCAGTGCTCGCGTCTTCACCGGTCTCTGACTGGCGCACACATGTGATCCATGAAGAATGTCTGCAGACAATGAAGGAGCTCGGGTCCCAGTGGCAGTCGTCCGCGGAGGTTTTCTAGCTATATTTAGTGGTCCCCTCAATGACACACGCCAAGGAGGGAGCGGCACCAGACACAGACACAGACACGGGCTCGAGCGCCGTTGAGCCAAGAGCACGTGCCGCCAGGGCCAGACGCGGCCGCGTGAAGCGACCCTACAATTGCTTGCTTCCGTAGCCAATGACGTTCTTGGCAAACCTCCAGTTCTGGTTCTCGACCTTCAAGTTCTGCTGGAACTTCAAGTCCACCTTGCCGTCGGCAAACGTGAACACCGCCAAGGTGTACTTGTCCGAGGCACGTGCGTCCCTGTAGTACAAGACCCGCATGCAGTTGGTGATGGCGTCCGTGGCCTCGCTCTCGGAGACCTTGTCGAAATCCTCGTCGTGGGGCACGAGTTTGCGCAACAAGGGCACGGCCAAGTGCGCGCCAAAGCCCGTGGACAAGGCCAGCGAGCCGTACGTCACGCCCAAGAGATCGACGTACCTGAGGAACGGCGTTCTGTCGTCGTTGAAGCCGGCCACGATGATGGCGTTCCACAAGGGGTCCATCTTCAGGCGGCGGTTGTACATGACACGGCTCATGTACTCGTGCACGTGCGGCGCCCGCAAGTTGTGCCCGCCGTCGTTGTCGTAGACCTCCTGCTCGGTTTCCAACTGGTGCAAGAGTCGTTCGATGTGCTGCAAGTCGGAAATGTCGCCGGAGATGCCGACAATGGTCTCGGAGCCCACGCGCACCAAGCGCTCGATGTTGTTGAAGCGGAGAAGCGACCCGTACGAGCCCATGTTGTCGGCGGCAATGGCAATCCCGTTCTGGAACTTGAGCGCCAACACGGACGTGCCTGTGATGATGGGCTGCTGCGTGTGCATGGCGGGAAAGTCAGCCGGCACACTGTTCTGGTGGCCTGCATTGGCGATCTGGTGGTTGTACGCGCCGTAGGCGTCGTTGCTGGGTCTTCCCCACTCGAGAGGATCGTGGTTCATGATGGCGGGTGTATGATTAGAGAGGCCGCAAAAACGGGGGTGGGGGACGGCTTTTGCGGATTGGGCGGGGTGCGAGTTTCTGGGGGTGACAGGGGCTGCGGCGGCTGGGCGGCGGTGTGTTTTTTTCGGGGTGTTGGGAAAAAGACGGGGGGTTCTAAATGGTAGTTTGAGTCTGAATTCGCTGGTGCGCTCTGTAGTGGCGAGCTGTAGGAGTAGTGGGGCGCGCACTACCCGGGCCCTTGGGTTGTCGCCCTATTTGTTCGCCCTATTTGTTCGCCCTATTTGTTCGCCCTATTTGTTCGCCCTATTCAATCGCCCTATTTAATCGCCTTGTTTACTCGCCCTATTTATTCGCCTTGTCTATTCGCCTTGTTTATTCGCCTTTTTTATTCGCCCTGTTTTGTCGCATTGGGCCCGCACTGGGCAAGTTCATGGGGCCGGTGGAATCTGGCGTTTGCTTGGTCTAGAAAGACGGATGGTTGGGAATGGCGGACCGGAGTTGGGGCTGCCCGAGGTTTATGCCAGTTGTTTTTGTCTTTTGTATTATGTTTTGTATTATTGTTTTTTATATTATTGTCTTTCTTTATATTCTCTTATGTAGTTCTTGTCTTTTGTATTAGTTTTTCGCATTAATTGCGTCGTATGGCTTGATCTCACAATTCGGCAGTGAGTGACTTGGTACAAGGGCTACGAATAAATTAAAATAGTAAACCAGCAAAGAAAGAACCTCAGAATGAGAAACAGAGCCGAAAAGAAGTTGGTAATCCAATGAAAAATATGCTGGGTCATCGAGCCAGAAAACGCACCCAGCTCTTTAGTAATTGTTCTTGTAAGATAAGGCTGGATATGTGTTTCCAGACACGATGAGATACTACATTTTCCGAAAGGTACAAGTTATGTCAGCGTCATGAAGGCTGCACGGGGCACCAGTTCAGAATCTGCCTCAAGTGATGTTTTAGATTTGAGAGCCGTTTAGATGAATTAAACTTTACGGTACCAGACCCATATTTCTATGTAGTTGAACAACTCGCGGGTTTCTCGTCTGCCTTCACAATCTAGGGCGACTCATTGCACAAGTGCCTCCTTGAAATATCGGGCAAAAAAGATGCTGTTAGTGCTCACCTTGAGCCTTAATAGACTGCAAGAATGAAATCTCTTTGTGTTATCTTTGAGAGTCTTTACATTATGAGAATATTACCCTCATCTGTTGAGGAATAAAGAAAGCCTCAAACCAGCGGTAAAACCAATTCTACAATTCTTGAAAATAGAGATAGAAAAATGCAAACAATGCGTAAACGGACTCAACTTCATATTCAACCATGAGGCCAAATCTTCCGATTTCAGTGAATATCATCAGTACGAGTTGAATATCTGATTGTCAAGGATGTATTCAGGAACTAACAGATATTCTTCAACTGGAAACCGGCAGGAAGCGGGGATATGAATGAAGCTCAGAGCATCCCACTCTTTGTCCCCTAAAGCTGCGGCCCCATGAAAACTAGGGCCCTCCATGATGGAGCCCGGCCGCAACAATAAACCAAGCCATCCCAACTACTTGGCACGAATACGCTCTGGCCCCAAGTCGACTGTCCCGAACAGACATAAACGCCATTGAAACAAGGTCTTCACCCCGGCTACACGACTCTGCGGCAGTTCACCATGCCATTGTATTGACGTTATTTTGTACATAGCATAAGCTTCTTCTAGGTTAGTTAAATACTCTTTGCAGGCCAATGTCCTCCAGACATCTAGTATACGAGACCAGCGCCGCCGCTTTCGATCTGCTCAGACTCCTCGGTGCTTGGAACCATATACCTGAATCTCTTGGACAACTGGTTTCTCAAAAGCACCTCGCCCTCTTGGAGCTCGATGGGCTTCCAGGCTGGTTGTGACGATTGTGTTTTCTGGAGCGTGGGCATCTTTCCAGAAGGAGAAAAGGGGTGGGCCTTGGCCGCCACCGTGGCAGCTGTGGATGTTAGTAGCAAAATACGTAGACAAGGGAGACATTTGAGCGAGCGGAATCACGGCGCAAGCCGGTTTAGAGCTACACAGATGGACATTTTGGCCGGAACCAGCTCTCAATGCCGCGGCTGCTTGAACAACAAAAAAGCGCTGGCCATTCGCAGATTGGCTGGGATTGTGCGGGCAAATCTGCTGGCTGGGGCCTCGGGTCCCGGAAGCAATCGGGTGTTTTCAAGAGTGCTAAAAGAGCCCCAATAACGAGAAGCCAGACCATACGAAATCTGGGCCTGGCCGGGCTTACATACCTTGGTGTGGGCCGCCAACAAACTTGATGAGGGGCACGTGCTTGAGGAGAGATGCAGACTGTCTCATGACTATTTGGTATGGGTTCTTGTGGCAGGCCTAAGCTGAGTCGGGGAAAGTCTGTCATTGGGCCCCGGGCCGGAGGGCGCTGTGTGCCGGTCTGGCAGTCAGCATCCGGGGCCAGGCAAAAAAAAAGCGCGAGGTCCCCGGGGCCACCTTGCCCTAGTGGGACGGCAAATGAGGGAGCCCCACTGGGCAAACCGCTTTTTTCCGGCCCAGCGAAATACAGAAGACATTACACAGTGTTTTTATGGGACTGGAGTGTTTTTTGTTTTTTAGTTATCTGTCTTTTAGGTCGGGTTGTAGGGGTGTTCAGTGGGTTCTCGGTTATTGGGATGCGCCTGTTGTGCGGGACAATTTGTGCATGCGTCCGGCACCATGGAGACTGATGGCGAGAAAACTAGACGAATCTCACGATCAACAAAAAGCCAGCAAATATAGAGTGGTGTGTTTCAAGTGGTTCTGAAATGGCAGTGCTGGTGTCATCAGATCAGAGCCATAAAAGTGGTGGTTTCAGTAGTGGGATTAAGTGGTTTCAGTGGGGGTATTAGGAAAGGTATTAGTGAAGGCATTTAGTGGAGATGATTAGTGACGATTAGTGGGTAATGAGCGGGGGTACTTGGTGGGGTATCTATGGTGGTTTTAAGTGGATGTTTTTGGCGGAGGTAATTAGTGGTGGTAGGTAGTGGAGGTAATTAGTGGTGATATGTAGTGGATGTAATTAGTGGTGATATATAGTGGAGGTAATTAGTGGTGATATGTAGTGGAGGTAGTTAATGGAGGTATGTAGTGGAGGTAGTTAATGGAGGTATGTAGTGGATGTAGTTAATGGAGTATGTGGTGGAGGTAATTAATGAAGGTATTCCGGGCAGGTTCTTTTTTACAGATACTAGTGATGGTAGTGAGTGATGATAATTAGCGATGATACTTAGTGATGATACTTAGTGATGATACTTAGTGATGGGACTTGGTGAATTTAGTGAGGGTATTAGTAGATGTATGCAGTGGTGGAATCAGTCGAGGTAATTTGTGGAGATAATTAGTATTCGGTGTAGGCTATCAATAGAGTGGTGTAGTGGTATCAGCTCTCGATATTTAAGTGCCCGACTTCTACAATCCATGTTTCGTACTACAAGAGTCCGTGAGGAACATTAATAATACTAGAAGTACTTCACGAGCAGTACGGGAACCGCAGAGATGCGAGCACTGCCATCAATGCCAATAGCCAAAAACAACACCCATTAAAAAATTAAACAAATACAGAAACAAAGTTCCGCCACCAAGAAAGCATGCAAAGCCACAAGGCCCATGCCTTCGTTAACAAGCCCGTTAATGAAAACAACACGAGTCTCCACACCCAAACAATCCTGTACTAGCAAGCCGGCAGCCAGCACGTCGACCAAGGCACCGCGCGCTGTCGCCCTAAATCTGGGCCGCGTCGCCTGGGCCAGGGCCATTCTCCCGTTTGCGGCGCCATTCTCCCATTTGCGCGGCCCCAGTCTCTGGCACCCGTTTCGCAGGGCCAGACATGGACCGGCCATGCGAATACAATGCCTCCAGATTCACGCACCCGTCCCTCCACCAAAACCACCAAACCACCAAACCACCAAAACCACCAAACCACCAAACCACCAAAACCACCAAACCACCAAAACCACCAAACCACCAAAAAACACCGCCACCATGAGCGACAAACTCCAAAGAACAATCGCGCGGTTCCAGGAGAGAATCGACAACAAAGACTATTACGAGGCCCACCAGACCTTGCGCACCATCACCAATAGATACGTCAAGGCAAAGCAGTTTGACTTGGCCATAGGCATCTTGCGCCAGGGCGCGTCCATTTTGGCCTCCAACAAGGAGTATGCTTCGGCCAGCGACTTGGTGTCGTATTTGATCCAGGTGTACACCGAGGCGGGCGTGGCGTGCTCGGCCTCAGGGCCCGGCCACGAATACAGGGCAGCGTTGATTGAGTTGGTGTCTCTTCTTCCAGACACGGACCCCAGCATAGGCGATTTGGCCAAGCAAGCGCTCGCGTGGGCCCAGCTGGACGGGACTTCCAAGTTTGGCGACGCCAGCTTGCATCACGTGTTCGGCACCAAGCTTTTGGCGGCCGTGCCGGAACAGGCAACGGACGCCGACAAATACAAGGTGTTTGCCGTGGCCGAGTTGCACTTAATTTTGGGCACGTTCGAGTCGTTGCCGGTGTATGTAGACTACTTGTTCTGCTGGTATCTCGAGAACAAACGGACCGCCGACGCAGGCGAGTTCTTGGCCCGCGCCGTAGTCAACTACGCATACCTCAAGAACATCAAGTTTGCCCAGGCCGCCACGGACCGGTTTTTGCAGAAACTCATTGACCTGACGCAGCCGGCCCTCGAGAAGACCGACTCGCTCTATGTTTTCGAGGCGCACGACCTCTTGAACTTCTTGCAGTTGCTTGTTGCCACGTTGAAGAAGGAACACGCGGGCGAGAAGTTCATGAAGTTGTACGGCCACTACGAGTCCTTGTTGGCGCAGAACGACCTCGTGGCGCCCGTGCAATATTTGGGCCGGGAGTATTTCGGGTTGAGCTTGGGCTCGGCCCAGGGAGGAAACAACATGTTGGCCAATTTGATGGGCAGTTTCTTCAAGTGAGTGGAGCGGGGGGTATGGTGGCCTCCTTAATGGTATTGAAAGCGGGCGGTGACGTGGAGGGAGGAGTATGGTGGAGACATGCCGCACGCTACTAGGTTGGAGTCCGAGGACACTTGTGTATTGGTATTGCAGGAGAGGATTTAGAGCAGCGCGTCAAGGAGTTTTCCAGCAGCTCTTGGAATAATAGTAATGGCAGATCTTGAGAAAATGATTGCATATCCGTATTATAAAGTGGGGTGAGTTCTCCAGGATAATTGCAAAGTAGTGTCTTTGGAGTGCGTTTCCCTTGACGAATAGTGGCATAGCAGTCCAGTGTATTCTTGGAAAGCCGTGCCTTGAAAGTGTTTTTTCCTTGATGAGCCATTGCATGGCAGTCCAGTGTAAAATCTCAAAGTAGCGCCTTCAAAGTGTGTTTTCATTCTGGTCCCCTCATAAGTAATTATCTTTTCCAGAAATACCGGACGAGTCTTTGAAAGAGCGTTTCCTAGCAGCTCTAGAATATCAGCTGTTCAGAGAATACTTGCACATCAGCCCTTGGGAACGTGATTAGTCCTTGAGAGTGTATTTTGTCCTTTAGAGTGTAAATAAGCCTTTAGAGCGTAATAAGTCCTTCAGAATGTCATTAGTACTTTAGAGTGTGAATACGCCCTTAACCTAATTACAATACAGTGCCTTTGCAGTGTGTCTCTTGACCAATAGTGGCATAGCAGTCCGTGTAAAAATTCAAAGCAGCGTCTTTCAGACGACATTCCATTCCGGTCCCTCATAGAACAATTAAACAGTCTTTCTAGAAAGACTTAAAGTATTTACCAGCAATTCATTAGAGAACAATGTCATCAGCGTTTTAGAGAATGATTGCACATTAGTTCTTTGGGGTGTGATCCTTGGGAGCGTGATCAGTCCTTCGATGTAATTAGTTCTTTTGAGCGTCATTAATCATTTAAAGTGTAATTACAAAGCATTGAATTTGAAGTGTTTTTCCTTGATGAAGAATGATACAGCATTCCAGTGTATGATTGCGAGCAGTGCCTGTAGAATGTGATTCCATTGACGATTAATTGCATGGCAGTCCAGCATAAACTCTCAGACTAATGCCTTGGAAGCGTGTTTCAAAGAAAAAGTCTCTAAAGTCTTGACATCAGTCTTCCGTAGAGGTCTTGTCATCAGTATCAAAGTCTTCCATGATCCTCCTCCAAGTTAAACATACCATCACCGTCCAAGACACCTCGAGGTCGACTATTAGCGTCCACTCGGAAACAGGCTCGTATACATCCAGGCAAGTTACCTACTTGTGCCGCGACGAGACCGATACAGTGTATTAATCAGGGGCCGCATGAAGTAGTGGCCTCATGAGGCCCTGTGACAGAGGCCTCATGAATCAATAACCTCACAAATCAGTGGCCTCATAAATAAATGAACTCGCAAATCAATGAACTCACAAATTAGTGGCCTCACAAATCAGCGGCCTCATAAATTAGTAGCCTCATGACAGTGGCCTCACAGATCAGTGCCCTCATAAATCAATGGCCTCACAAATCAATGTCCTCGTCAATCAGTGGCCTCGTAAATAAATGACCTCGCAAATCAATGACCTCATAAATTAGTAGCCTCATGACAGTGGCCTCACAGATCAGTGCCCTCACAAATCAATGGCCTCACAAATCAATGTCCTCGTCAATCAGTGGCCTCGTAAATAAATGACCTCGCAAATCAATGACCTCATAAATTAGTAGCCTCACAAATCAGTCATGGCAGTACCAGACACTGCCCTTACACACCACCAAGCTCACGTTCATACTAAAAAGGGCAGCACATCAGCCCCACCGCAGCTTCTTCACTAGACGTCATTAAATTATGTAAGTCCCCCTTCCCCGCGCCCGCCGCACATCCGTCAATACGCGTCCTCGCCCACCTCGCCCAGGCAGTCCTTCACCACCGACGAGGCATCCAACGCCAGCACAAGCTCCGGCCGCCTCGCCTTGAGAAGCTCGTGCCGCGCCTCGGAATACGTGCACCACCGGCGCTCGCGGGTCGCCAGCTCGGGCCACTCGCTGCTCAAGCTTTCTACTAGCATCTCGTAAAAATGGAACTCCAGGCGCGGCACGAATCTGGCCGGGTCCCAGTCGTGGCCACGCTGCTCTACGCTCAAAACTGGCGCCTTGCGGCCCCTGGTGTCGAGCACCACCGGCAACTTGGCCAAGATCCGGCCCTCGCACCCGGCCTCCTCCCACGTTTCGCGCACCGCACTAACTATGTAATCCTCGCCCTCGTCCATTTCAATTCCACCCTTTGGAAATACCCACTGGCCTTTGTGCGCACTGGACAGAACCATCACCACCTTGTCCTTGGCGTCGTTCAAACAGATGCACCCGGCCACCATGCGGGCGCCGCTTTCCGGATTGTAGCGCTGGTTCTGCCTGCCGACACGTGACTGCAGGGACTTGACGGGAAGGTTGGGGTTATTTTGCATTTGCGTGTGTGGAGCTGGGGTGGAGAGAAGATGCGGGGGGGCTGGCTTTTTCCGGGGCCCTGGGGCACGGTATTTCTAGGGCCTGGTGTCCAGATGTTCTGGCCTGGCGCTGGAGTTTCTGTGGGGCGCGGGGCCAGGTTGATCTGCGCGGCCGGCGCTGGCGCTGGCCCCGGAACTCGGGGGCGCGGCGAGTTCCGGGGGGACCGTGCCCGGGGAGTTCCGGGGCCAGCGCTGCGTGACTGAGCTGGGTCGCTGAGCTAGTTGGCTGGTTTGGAATAATAATCAGTGGCTGGGCCCAGGCTCTTGTCTTGTGGGTGACTCTTGGCTGTTTCATTCAGACTTTCAAAATTTGAACAATATCAAAGAACGGAAGCTGCCCGAAAATGGTTTCATCTCACAGAGTCGACATGGAGCTCAACAAACGCATAGAAGCTTCCCCAGTCGCCATTTCGGGTCTCAGCTTTTTCACGTATTCTTCCAAGCCTTTTATCACTGATCGTTTTGTGCTCCAAAGTCTCAGGATGGGGATATTTGATCTTGCCGACGACCAATCGACCACATGCTTAGTATGTTTGTAGAGGGGCATCTAAAACGGTTTGATGTCAGTGGGCAGGCTTTAAAAACTTTAACCGCTCCCAGTACCAAGTTCAACATACGGCCCGCCTCTTTCAGTTCATCACGCCTGGAGGTCCGCTTGGCCTGTATCTGTCTACGTAATGGATACTACGTCATCGATTTCCAGAATAAGTCTCCTGTAGTAGTCGCTTCAGCTCAGATGGTTCAAGAGAACTTAAAGAGCTTACTTCTTGCAACTCACCACGTCTTCGAGTGTATCTTGAAGCTGGTGGTGACGAACCAATTTCATTTCGTCAAGTTCTCCAAAGAGTTGTCGGCCGGAGAGCCAGTCCAGCACTTTTTTTAAAAAAAAAATCGTATTATAGAGTGTTACTGGAGGGATGTGAAGACCTGAGCCAATGTTGCCATCTATTATGAGTCTTTTCTTTAGATTTTTTTGTTAGTGGTGGGGCTTACATCCCTCCGGTGACACCCTATAGTATGATATTTCTTTAAAATTTACTATTTTTTTTTCAAAGTTTCCAAGGAAATTTCAGGTGTGAATAGCCGGTGCACAAAGTTGCTTCGATACATCTTACAGTTGCCAAACTATATGACAGTCATAGATTATAAAATCATGTGGGTTCAATTTCTTTTCTTAGCTGGGTTGAATGTTTGTAAAGAGATATGCTATAGGGCACATAGTACGCGTGGAACTTCACATACTCATGCAAGGACTGACCGATGTGGGCCATTTTTTTTTTTGGTAGATTCATCTGATTAAAGGGGCAAAACCATATAAATAATATATATAAAAAACCTTTAAACAGCTCCCAGCTACGTACCAAGTGTCTTAGCTCGGCCCGTCCCCTTCCGTTAGTACTCTTCAGGTGAGAATTCGCAAGCACTATCTCATGAAGGGACATACACCAAGCCGCAGACACGAATAAACACTAAAATAAATGTTGTTGGAAAATTGTATTGTATTCAACACTTTTTCTGTCAAATATATTGACAATACAACTCCAGAAAGACACATAAGGTCGCGTGGTCTAGTTGGTTACGACGTCTGCTTCACACGCAGAAGGTCCCCAGTTCGAGCCTGGGCGTGATCATTTTTTTTTGTTTTCTTGAACTTTTTTTTATAGCTAGCCTCGCGAATTACAAGATTAAAGATTGCTCTCAACGAGGTTTGAGTCGGAGACACGGACCTGGTGAATTTGTTTGGCTGCAAATTTCTTAGAAAATTTTTGCTTGAATAAAGAAATCTTTGCCTGGAGCAGAATTGAAAATTGCCTAATTGAGAGCATGGTTTTTTGGCAGGGAAGGAACGACCAGTCCATGAGACCAATGGCTTTTTAAGTATAGAATCTGGCGAGATCTTGCAAAAAAACGAGGATCATTTTCGAGAATGCGAAGAAATTCTCAGCAGAGTAGCCCCGGAATCTTAACCAAACGATTGGCGTCTTATTTATCTTGTGCGGATGGGGTTGGCTATGATTACTCAGAGCAGACTGTTTCGCTAAATTGTGTTTAGAAACATACGCTATTTGAGATAGTCATTGTGTTTTGAAATAAATCGTATTTTCGCCGATTGTTCTAGATTTGAGCATATATTCGGTTCGGGTGTATGATGCTTCGTATCAAAGCTTTCCCTAGTAGAACGCATGGGTATTGCTACAAAAAAGCTATTGATATTCTTTTCTTTTAGCAAGATATATTTTGCAGTGAAATTGTCTTGTCTGTAATGAAATTTTCACAGCCGTTTAGTGGTAGACCAGCGAGTTGTAAAACATCGCGTTCCACTTATAGACTTATTTTCGCTCCCTCACTTTTCAGTTTCTACTAAACCATGCCATCCGTTACCGAAACTCACACAATAATTGAAAATAAACTTACGTCATGCTTGGGTCTGGTTGCTTCTTAGAAAGACCAGCCGTCGTTGTGGTCTGCACCACTGTAATCAATAAAATTGTAAAAGAAATACAACCCGGACAATACTTCCAAGATTAATGGAAAATTTTAGGCATTAATGTGAAAGACGCATACCAATAGGTTCTGGGTAGAAATCTCATGGTGGAGAGCTCAAAAATTCTCCAAAAGAATCGGCACAAACGTTGATATAAATGTTGCTGTTTTTGACGACAATAAGAACTGACTGGCTCAAGAATCAAATGATTCTTCTACTGAAGATGATTTGTCAGACTCAAAACTATATCAGAAAGAAATAAAATCATTCGTGAGAGCTCGATTATCTTGGTTTTTGATGCACCCAACGATGGATGGCAAGATGAGGCAGGAAGCATAATTCTTCCGCAAAATGCCAAGACCTGCTCCATTGCGATGAACGCAACACAAGCGATTTTGACGAGACAGAAGTATGTTTTGAATTCAAGAAAAAAAACATGACGCTTCTCTAATTCTGTTGATACCTGTCTGGTTTTGGCAGGGGTTGATAATTACAATCTTTAGGTGTCGCAAATAGACATTAGCATAAATACAATCTTGCCTGAGGCTGTTTTAACTTGTGAGGAGTTTGCTTATCAAGTTCATCACCGAAAAGGAAATTTAGGTGATGAAAGATGATGACACATAAGTCTTGTTTTTGAAACCGTACCTATACGAGAATAACAATTATTCAACGATTTTAGATGCCAAGGCCAAAACATAGCTATTAATTAAAAATATGATCAATGCTCGTAGAAAGACAATTTTGGTATACTCACACATGTGTAGGCAGACTAGTTTACTCATGAAGATCTTGTAGTCAAGAAACATCGAGGAGCCTGATATTTGCAACTTTTATAAAGCATAAGCTACACAACATTTTCCCAATATATTAATGATATTTCATATTTTTGTCACAATTGAACTCTTGAATTAATTTTGATATATAGAGGTAAAGAGATGGTAATTAACAGTCAATTGTCCAATTATGACTTCTAATGGGATCATTTGAGTCTTTAGCAAAACAAGCTGGGGAAGAGCTTGCCATTCAATCAGAGTTATGAATATTGTTATTCTGGAAAAAGTTATATCTTATTGTTTACTAAGCGTTTCATGATCAGGGAAACAATCATGCCGCTATAAATCACACCAATAATCTCATCGAGGAGTAATTTCAAGATTTTACTTGTGATTTGGGCGTTTCTGTATCTGTAACCGTAAAGTTCCTGGAATTTTCAAAAAAAATATATCAGTTGCCCTTCAAGCCAGGAGAGAAATAAATACTCATGACTCTGGGCAACTTGATGATAAGCACATTCCGCAAAGAAATCTAGAAAAGCTGGCAAGTAAATTTGCTCGAATCTACAAAACAGAAATGCAGGCGCAATCCTGGATAGATACTGATCTAAAATCATTTTTCATACAGCAACTCTTGAGTCCCGCTACTCTTTGAACGTGCAGACTTGGATCATGTGAATGTCGATACCAACATATACGCTTAATGCTCACATATACGTTTTCACATTAAATCTTCTGAATATACTTTCAAGCTTCTTCCAAACCAATTTTTGCTTTTTAAAAGGGCGACTTTTGGACATTCTGTGTGTTTTAGATCTATTCCCTGAATCGCCTCACGTGCACGCTAAATACAGGACACCAGCACATGCTGATTTAATAGTGGTACCTTTTTCAATTTTTTTATAGCTACTGATCGATGGTTCGTTTGTAGCTTTCTAAAGCAGCCATCTGCGGCTAAATTTTACTATCTTTCCCAAACAGCCTCAAAGATATGCCATCTTTTTGGTATGTCAACAGCTCACAGAAGCCAGCCGCACTTTGCAGCCGTGGACATGGCAGAGCAAAGAAACACATATATAAGAAGACGTCAGAATGTCCTTGAACAATCCAATACAGCCCACTGTTTGCTCCCCACATTTCTGATCCAACCCACAAATCTCTTGCACCACACCGACTATCACCTGTTTGGCCGTTTATACTTTTGTCAACGGCCCTATCAATTCGTGCAAATCTTCAGCTATTTAAATTAGCTTCTTAGTCCAATTTTGTTATTCAAGCTCGAGAGCATACAATAATTTTTGAAACAGCTCTACAATGTCTTTGTGGCTCTCAAAACACCTCAGGAGCCTGAGTTCCAGAGCTCCCTCTGCAAGCAGCCCAGCCCATTTCCTCAGGAATTTGGGTACTCGTTGGGCAAGTGCATCCTGTGGTGGTGAGGCCAGGGCCCATAATAAGTGGCAAAATTCAGTTTACGCCCAAAAAACCACATTGCCTAAGTTGAACGTCAGTATCCGGAAGTATGGAGCCCCCTTATTTGCTGGCAGCAACGGATGGCTGTATCGTGGTAGCATGCCATACCGCCTTTTCTCCAAGTCCAGCATCCAGGGTGGTGTAAGTACCAAAGATATTCTGTTTCCATGTAATTTGGGTGATCTTTATACCGCTGGAATGTTTAGTGATGACTCTGTTAGAACAGACTCCATGTTTACTCATGAAGACAGGAATGCACTTAGCGCTACTGGCCGTTCTTCTATCATTTACAGGAAAAATGCTCAAGAATCCCCCTTTTTGAAGTTGATGGCTCAAAAGGCTAAGGGGATCTTAAAAGTGTTCTCTAGTGACTCGATAGAAAACAGCGAGGAACGCAAGCACTTATTGTCTCTCGTTGAAAAGCTCCCATGTCGTCTCCCCGGCATCTCATCGCCAACAAGCCAAGATCACTGTCATACTACCAATGATGAGGCTCGTTATATGAGCCATGCACAAAGTGGGGATATCACTAGTTTCACTTTGCTCTCTGACGAATCTTCTGGTCTTGACTGGCTCGGAAATGCAGAAGATGCAGTATCTATCAATTGGCACGAAACAACGCAGAAAAAACAGGACAGTGCCACAGTCCATGAGAAAAACCTAATCAATGAGATGTTTAATGATTTGATTGCGCATGACACTAAATGTTTTGTGCCAGCCTCAAAACTAGAAGTTCTCCAAAACTTTTCAAGTCTTGAACCAGAAGAACAGAAACGTCTGGCCTTTTTCTTAGGAATTTTTCCAATTTCATGGGAAGCGTCTAAGAATACTCTTCAAGGCGCAGAGACTCCACAATTGATATACTTAGATCTCGATCTTCCGGAATCCGACTTAGATGATTGGGACTTGCATGCACTGTTGAGAGAGAGTATCTCTCCTTGTTCTGAGGAAGTTGCACATACACAAAGTGACCTCTTAAAGATTGACACAGGGACCATTATGAAGATAACTCTGGACATTCCAATCTTTCTGAGGTGTGAAAACAGAGAAATGATGTCCACGAGCTGCCAGGATGGAACCACCGACCTTGTGCAGTCGAGACTCGATTCTATTATCAGGTTGACAGAGTCTGATCACGAAACCACTGAAAGTGTCATAGCTCGTGAAAATGTGTTGGAACTTAAAGATCGTGGCTTCGACTGTCTCAGCGCTGCGGAAAAAAATGACCTTCTGTCTTCAACTGGTACATTTGATTGGGATCAATTGAGCTTTACCGAATCCGCCACTTTAATTTCTTCGAGGCTTTTCTGGACCTCACTTGATTCTGAGATCGATGATGGCTTTAGTTGGGTCTACTCTCCCGTGCTTCAGTTGAAGGAAAAAATTGTAAAAACAGATACTGGCCATTGGACGACTCAAAACCATGACGGGAAATCAGATAATGGCTCAATTTTAAACCCTGAATTCCAGCAGGCTATTGATTTGGAACATACTGAATATGCATACTTGAGCCTTGAATTGCCTGGTTTGGCAGAAATCTCACACGAAAATCCTACAAATATGGAGCTTACATCATGGTTAATTCTTTACCAGGACTTATTACTGGGATAGGGTCAATAGACAAAGCTAAATGTAGATTTATACTTAGTCTGACAAACACTAATAATTCTGACCTGTTGGCATTTAACAACGAGACAAATTCTAGAGGCTTGTCGAGATAAAATTAGCAAAACGTAATTCTATATAGGCCTTTAATAGTCAATTTGTATGAATTAAAATTTTCCATATGATTCATCATATCATTAATTTGTGTCTTTCAGGCTGTAACTCTTCAGTTCAGCCAAAATCACTGCCATTGAGACTCTTGAAACTTTGAATGACGGGGGCTATTGTGTAAAGACTCGCTAGTGTTTACCCTCGGGACGACTTTTTTTGTGCAAGTAGGGCAGCATTTAAAGCAGCCTGTTAGCTGAACGCAAAACAATGATTTTTACCCCAGTAAATCGCAATCATTATTTGGCGATATTGTAAAATAATTTGGAGCTCTCACATAGTTGTTAAAGTTCACGTTTATACAGCACGGCAACGGCGAGTGAGTTAGATTGAGACACAATGATCCGTGGAACTTTATTAAATGGATTATCAAATTTGTCACAAGACTTTTTATCCTGCTTTAAAGAAAAACAATATATTGCCCTTTTATAACTACTGGTCATTAGATTTGGAAGCGAATGCTCTACAGTCATTTGACTTTGTGGTGAGGTATGCCTCTCCAGAGAGAATTTAGACTCCATTTCATCAAATTAAACTGAAAAATGATCAGCATTTAGGTGAATTAAGCCACAAATTCGACAAATTAGTCATTCTTCACACGGCATTGGAGTCTCTGGCCTTGTTACATCAAGAATACTTACTTCTGTAGACTAGTCTCTGCACTCAAACATTTGCACTCGTTCTTAGATTGATCGATTTATTCTACTCATGACCAAGAGAAGTTCCTGGATGTATCTCATGTGATACAACTTGTTGAATCGAATATTACACTTTGCGCAAAAACCTTATAGCACTGACGCTTCATTATTAAAACTAAACTACAAAACCAGATCGATGAAGAGCGAAAAAGGAAGAGAGTCGAGGGAAAATCGAGTAAACTATCAATTATGTGCCGCGTATTGACAATGTTGCCAAACATCACCCTACCATGGCCTTTCCTTGGAATATCAAACTGCAAAAATGCAAGTTATTTTCAACATATTTTGAAATCGTCGAATGTTTTGTCCTTGTGATGACATAAATTTTCGAATTTCAATAATCTGGGGACCAAGCTTACAAGATTGTTTCAAAAAATCTTTCTTTTTTTTGAGTTTGCAACGGCACAACGTTTCAAACACAGTCACGAGGATTCTAAAAAATCTTACTCAAGAATAGCTTGATAATCAGTAAGTGAAAATACTCTAATAATATGATTTTATTGCTTGAGCAAGCGAGATCTTCTGTTCCGTGAGGTCAAAGTATATATACGCGTGTCTCATAAACACGTCATTTAAAATCTGGTTAGAGTTAAAGTAAGCAAGTCCCAAAATGCAACTCCCATCGTCATTAACCAAAATCAAATCTGCGTGAGATATGGATATTGTGTTGGCACCAAAATTGAACACCACATACTCGTCCGCAGGTTGTGTACAACTCACCTGTCTAAAAGAAATGCCATCTGCTTCTACCACAGTTGGGTCGAAAATAAGATCGAGTGCGCTCATTAATTCCTGGCCCACAAATCCCATTCATGATCCCGAATCAAGTACAAATGGGGAATCTATCATAACTTCGTTTCCTCCTGCACTGACGCTTCTCAAGTTTATTGCCAAATCGTGTTCTGCTCTATGAATAGGGTATTCCGTTAAAGTACCAGTGTACTTTGTAGTGTCGATGTCCCCAAAAATCATCACACCGGTTTCTCTGTTTGGATTCAAATGTATCGAGTATGATGCTTTGGGAATGATTCCTGCAGCTTGCAATGCCCATGGAAGATTATTGTACTTTCTTGCAGTAGCTTCTTGACCTCTGTTCCCTAGTCCCAAAATTCCTGGGTCATTTGTTTCGACATAACCGAACTGAAAACTTCCAAGTAAATGCTCGGTCGAGCCAAACAGCAAAGAATCTTGGAGATAGCTTCCCAGATACTGATCACTTTGAATATACTTTGTTTCAAACGGAGTGTCTGTGTCAGTCGAAGTTTCTGAAGTTTCAGGATTATATTACGATGAAGACACCCAAAGATCAGACGAGCCAGTGTCAAGCACAACATAGTTTTTCTGCTTGTTTGATCCCAAATACAAGTACATCATGTAATAAACATCTCGCTTATTGTCAATTGGCACAGAAAAAGTATCTCTCCTGCGTTTAATGTCTTCATGTTGGTCCCCGAATTCTCAAGAGCGCAAGTCTTTAGAGTGTCTTACGACGTTGAATTCGAACCCTAATGATTTTGGTTTAGGCGCTTGTGGCTTTAAGGATTCAGCATTACACAACCCAATTGTAGAGTTCAGAAAAAGTACTAGTGCTGAGAGATAGAACATTGGGAGAGAAATAGATACAGTTCAAGAAAAAAACTTATTGTGATTTCAAATTGAAATATTCAGGGAAACCTTACATATATGTAAAAATGCCTTACACGGCATGCGAACAAGTCTTGCATAAGCGTTTGGACATGCGAGAGTTTTTGACGAGCTTTCACAGCAAAAAGTTGGTAAGAATTGCTGCGGAAACGGAGCTGATTAAGACAACTTCAAACTTCTAAAGACTCTAAGAAACATTTTTATACACGGCACCGGGGCTACAACTGAGCAAAATATTGGTAAAGTGTCATTATAGCAGACCCTTGATTCCACAGTAGGTTGATTTTATTCTAAGGTGGCTAGCTCTGAATGCAAAAATCAATGTTTTTTACTCAGTTTTAGACTTTCAATTTCAATTAAAGGCACACACTACGCACCAATGACGAAGTTCAACTGTGTAAACCTATCAGTTTATCGGAATTATTTGATGGCTAGAGGAAATTTACTAGGTGAATTCATGTTTTGTTTTATGTTGCTTTCATGACCGGACGCAAGGGACACAAAAAGCCGTATCGTCAATCCAGTACATCAAAAATAGGAGTGTCGCTTAATTTGGAGGGGCATCTTAAAAATCGCTTACAACCTAACTTATACATGCAATGTTCAATGACAGTAAGGCGAAGCTGGGTTCACTTTCTGGCAGTCATTGATAATTCAAAAAGAGCAAAAAGATGTTATGATACGAGTCTCCGATATGTAAACCGAAGTGCTGCGAATGCTTTACCCAAGTAATTCATGCCTGAAAAGCCGAGCCAAGTCACTGATTCAAGATATGAAGCACGCTTTAAGTATTTCAGATAAGTTTCTAAGCTTATCTGCCATCTTGATTTCAAACACTGGATAATTCACGCTGGCTATTCATCCTATATACACTCGAAAAGAATTTACAGACAAGACTAAACCTAGCTATTGACTGCAAAAAGCAGTTGCGGTTGCAAAATGTGCGCACGCGTCTGACATGCTATTTATTCGCTTTCGAGTTTTCTATCATGGCATGATTCCGTTATATACTTATTCAATCAAACCGCAAGGAGATGATGAAATGATCATACCAGAAACAAACCATTCAATACTGTGCGTAAATAATTTCATTCACACGATCCTATTAAGAACTGAAAGAACTGACCAGTGTTTGCAAACCATTATGTGGAGCCATACACAGAAATGTTGAGATAATCCAGAGTGTAATTTTAGTGGTACTAAAAATCAACTTTTTTTGTTCGTTGTCGGATTTGCATTCTGAAGACTTCGCTGAACTGTAGCTTGTGTATGCCAAGACCATATCGAATAGAACTTCTCCTCACAGGAAATAAAGTCCAAAAATGGTCTTGTCTGAATTCATTCCCCAAGACCAATGTTTTATGAGTAGCTAGTGCAAAAACTTAAGCAAGAAAACGCCTTTCGTTTTCGAAACACTGTTCTTATTAATTTCGCGAGAGTCACGTGGCGGGCCTTCTTGAACGAGTCGGACATTCCATCGTCGTCACGCAAAGCAAAGATTAAGTGGCAAGGATGTCAGTGGCCATGGGAAAAGGCCGCTATGATTTTCCAACCTTCGCTATCGATGTGGACACAGCAAGCACAAATCTGGTTGTGAAGTCTGTGAACAACACACAGGCGTCTTGAAAAACATCAAAAACGTGACATCGAGCAACCATCGCGCACGTGAAGTTCTTATGTTGAAGGGTATAAACAACACCAAGAACTTTGTAGTACGTCCAGATGCTATGAAATGACGTTTCCTCGATCTAGTTTCGATAGCCAATGTCCGGTGTACGGGTGTGCCATACATGCGGCTTGACATCACTGATCAGATTGAGACCTCATAAAATATAACCAGCATCAGCCTAGTTTCTCGACCACAATGAGACTCAACTTCTTGTACCTATGGCTTTCAGCCACGGTTGTAATTGCGCACAACACCATTCCCGTCAAGCCCCTGGAACTTTCATGGCAGGAATGGCACATGAAGGAAGAGCATCAAATGGACAGTTTCGACGCGGCCTCCTTCTTCATGATCCACGATTTGCAAAACAAAGGGTTTTGGGCAGCAGAGGAGATCTTGTATCTATACGGATTGACGCGTGACGAGGTTGTTGGCGACGGCAGTGGCATGGGTGACCACGACCACGCGGAAGCCATTCCGCAAAGTCTTAAAGACAAAGTCATCAGCCATGTTTCCCGTCTTTTGAATGGGGACAGCGAAGGCAACGTGTCCAAGGAGCAGTGGTTGGAGTTTTCCAAGAATGGAGGGCTTTTGCCCGATTTTGGCGTGGGTCCAGGCCATCACATGGACTTCGAGGCCGAGTATGAAAAACATCACTGGAACAAGTACCACCGGGACCAGGACCCAGATGTGCATACGAAGCACAAAGAAGACATTGAGCATGAAATGTTGCATCACGAGCACGAAATCGAGGAGTCGCATTCGAATGAGGGCGGTAGGGCGAGAGCCCACGATTACGTCAGCCCGGTCAAAGTGCACAACATTCCGCAGAAATATTTGGCATAAGTGGAGCAGCGTCGAGGTGCTGCTCCTGGATTGGCCGGTCCATATACGTCAAGTGATTTTGACTGGCTAGTAAATGCTGCAGACGGGTACCGGGGCACAGTGGAGTAAGACTATGGAACATCGCAAATCTATAAGCACATGTATTACCGTTCTATTAAAGTGGAGATAGACGAAGGTTGCCAGCGGCTAGCTGGTGACGGCCCCCAACGCACAGTCTCTCAATTCCGACAAATCCTGCTGGCACATCTTTTGAGCAGACCCGTTCATACGAAGACACAGTTCGTAAGCCTGAAGCTTGCCCGCACACACGCCGTGTATTTTCTGGAAAACCGGCACAGAGCCCTTGATGCAGCGGCTCAAATTCACCTGCTCAACTGCGCAATCGGACTCCGAGGGCGGTTTGCTCATACATTGGTGGAAGGCCAAAAACTGCTGTGGACAGTAGCGAGCAATGTCCTCGATCATTATCTGGTCTAGCGCGGAGGACGACATTGCAGAAAGTATATGAGGCAGGTTGGCTCTTTGTTTAGAAAATATGAATAGGTGAAAAAATGCCACAGTGTGGACGTGGGGATGTCTGAAGAAAGAACAGAGCGTACCAAACTGGGCAAAGGCCCAGAAGTTGTTGGGCGTGGAGCGCGCCTACCTGGCCAAGAGCAATTAACAGAGAAAAGCTGAACACCATTTTTAGGACGTAGTTTGCGAGCAATTTTTATGGAAAAAAAAAAAGGCTGCTTAGTCAGCTGATAGCGATTGAGTTACATTTCTTCTCTGGCGAATTCTGTTGCCATCGGAAGGTCTTTTGAATTAGGTGGTCCGAGCCATCTATGCGCGGATATACTATCAGAGGCTTGATTCTGGGCCAAGAAGTTCTTTCGGGTTTTCACGAAGGCCATGCCGGCGAATCAGTCTTGAATCTAGCGCCTTGCCTTGCCTTGTTTTTTTTTGTGCTGTAGGGTGGTCTCCACCCAACCCGGCTTCGGTGCTAGATAAGACATGAAAATACAGCAGGATAGGTGGCTAGAAAAATGTATTACTAGGGCCAAGGTCCAGTTGACTGCGCGGAGCATCCGTAATATCAGACGCACATGCGGGCTGATTCTTTAAACCCAGATCTGGAGGCAGAGTCGGAAACCAGTGTTTTGGGTACTGCACCGTACATTCCCACTGAACCGTTTTCCAGCCAGTTATGAATGCCTTTCACGTGGATGGTTCTGGTATATAGTGTCTCAGTAATGTACTCCAAGACTATGTAAAACCAAGCGAGTATTTGCAGGACTAATAGAGGTGAGTAATTGCAAAGCTATATGAATACGTGTAAATAGATCCGTGTAAAAAGCGAAAGACTACGTAGATCCAGGCAAGTATTGGAAGGCTACCAGACACAGATATTGCTTGCAAGAGCTTGCAGTAGGGTTGCGTGAAAGTGGATGAGGCTTTCTAGTAATAATAATAATAATACACCCAGCTCAAACTTAAACAGGTTCAAAGCCGGAAAACAGGATTGCTGGGCGCACAAGGCGATGGGCCATATTCGGTCTTTTCCTGAGAACCAGGCACTGCTCGCATCTTGCCCTTAGTAAACGACCATGCCAAATAAAGGGTTGAACATTGCAGGCCATATTTTGGCCATATTTTGGGCCACTACACTGGCCACGTTTTTGGCCACTATTCTGGCCCTACGTTGCCCATTTCTTACCTAATTTGCTGCCTATTTCTTTGCCCAATTGCTGACCCGTTGTTTCGGCATCGTTTCTGGGCTAGTTTTTTTCCAATTTGAGCCGGCTCCTGCCTTCCTGCCTTGCCATTTATTCCTCCATTTTCTGCCAATCACATGCCAGATTGTTTGCCAATTGTAATTAGTTCCCAATTGTAATTTGCTGCCAATTGCCACCTATAAGCCCGTGTAATTTTCCTGCACCTCGGTGCCATTTGACTAGCCCGCCTTTCGGACGCTGGCTCTGGATTGAGGCTTCTCACGTGGCTCTTTCATTTTCGGCCCCGCGCCCTTCCATGATCAGAGCCAATCAACGCCCCGTCCCAAACCGGGAATTCACCCGACCCTGATGGAATATGATGGTGACACGCCTCTATTTTGCTGATCACCGTAATTCTCAAAAAGAAAAAAGAACAAATCCAGCACTTCAGCTCGCCAAGCTTGCCCTGTTTCGAAACACCGGGAATTGAGTATATGCGTGCCTGCACACAGGCGCCCGCTTATCGTCCATCGCCCAGCGCTCCAAACTAGTGTACGACACGCCAGACGTCAGGTCATTGGGCTGAATTGGGGCAAAACAGTTCATGAGCGGATTCATAAAAGGGAGTCAGGAGGAGAAAACATCATAGAACAAAAAATTTAAGAAAAACAGAAATATGAAAGAATGAGTCATAAGAAACTGAATCATATAAAGAACCGGAACGCAAGAGAGCGGATTCATGAACACCAGAGGCGTGGAAACAGGCAAACAAAACAAGAGCAAAATTATCGTAAAACATAAAATGATACATATTACATGTTACATGTTACATAAAAATAAAAATACAACATAAAGAAAAAAATAAAAATAAAACATAAAAACATTAAAAACAAAATGCTGCTTTTTCGTGTCTATGTAGTGTCGTATTCTTATCCCGGAATTGTCTGGCGGCGCTCCCGCGAATTGGCTTCGTTGTCTCAGTGGAGAGCGGCCGCGATTTTCCCACGCGGTTTTTGCTCCTCGCTCGCTCAGTAAAACAACTTTGAGCACACAAAAAAAAAAGCGCCACCGGCCAACATCCCGTTTTCCGTGCCAGATCTGAGCCCTGTCTGCATTTTCCCCTGCGTTCTGCCTCTTTGAACCCCGCTCTTGGCACCGCAGCAATTTCCAGCCCCGTTCGCCAGAAACACATCAAAAAAAAACCGGAAGCATTCGAACGTCGACCGACCCGCCCAAAACTCTGTATTCCGGGCGCCAGCACAGGTCACTAACCGCCGAGATCCACGACAAGCCACGTGATCGCAAACGGCCACCCGTGTATTTGCGCCTTCCCACATCTTCACGTCGGCAGGCCATACATCTAGAATTAGCTTGTTGAGTTTTCTTGTCTTTCGAGCCAGCACAGCAAACCCCACCTTAGACCACACGGTGCCACACAAACAAACGTTCCTTTTTTTTGGCGCCAGACTTCGATGTCCAATACCGCCGCCATAGCCGCCGCTGCCGTGACACAAAACCAGCACAGCATGAACGTCTCCGGGCTGTCGCAGAACAACAACTCCGTGGTCGGCTTGCACTACAAAATCGGCAAGAAAATCGGCGAGGGCTCCTTCGGCGTGCTCTTCGAGGGCAGCAACATCATCAACGGCGTCGCCGTGGCCATCAAGTTCGAGCCCAGGAAAACCGAGGCGCCTCAGTTGCGCGACGAGTACCGCACCTATAAGCATTTGCAAGGCTGCGACGGAATCCCCAACGCCTACTACTTCGGGCAGGAGGGCTTGCACTCCATCTTGGTCATCGACTTGTTGGGCCCGTCCTTGGAGGACTTGTTCGACTGGTGCGGCCGCCGCTTCTCCGTGAAAACCGTGGTGCAGATTGCCGTGCAGATGTTGAATTTGATCGAGGAGGTGCACCGCCACGACTTGATCTACCGGGACATCAAGCCCGACAACTTCCTCATTGGCCGCCAAGGCTTCCCCACGGAAAACAAGGTGCACTTGATTGACTTTGGCATGGCCAAGCAGTACCGCGACCCGCGCACGAAGCAGCACATTCCGTACCGAGAAAAGAAGTCCTTGAGCGGCACTGCACGGTACATGTCCATCAACACGCACTTGGGCCGCGAGCAGCTGCGCAGAGACGACTTGGAGGCCTTGGGCCACGTGTTCTTCTACTTCTTGCGTGGGCAGTTGCCCTGGCAGGGCTTGAAGGCGCCCACCAACAAGCAGAAGTACGAAAAAATTGGCGACAAGAAGCGCACCACTGCCGCCACGCTTTTGTGCGAGGGCTTCCCGAAGCAGTTTGCGGAGTACTTGGACTCTGTGAGATCCTTGCCGTTCGAGGCCGAGCCCGCGTACGAGGAGTACCGCATGTTGTTGTTGTCGGCCTTGGACGACTTGGGCCTCAGCTGCGACGGCGACTTCGACTGGATGCATCTCAACGGCGGCAAGGGCTGGGACTCGTCCATCAACAAGAAACCAAACTTGCATGGCTACGGGCATCCCAACCCGCCCAACGAGAGGGAGAGGCGCCACCGCGAGCTGCGGAGAAACAGGCCCCACCAGTCGACACAGGGCGGCAACGTCATTGCCAGCTCTGCGGGCAACAACAACTTGAACAGTAATATCAACCAGTCCACGCAGCAGCAGCAGCAGTTGTCCGCGGCGCAGTCGCACCAGCAAAAGTTGCAGCATTTGATCAACAGACCCTTGCCCCCCATCAAGCAGGAGCTCCAGCCGCACTCGCGCTTGAGCTCGCAGGGCAACAACGACATGGCGGGCAGCCAGGCCGTGATGCGAAACGCGCAGCCGAACTACGTGAACACCCAGAGGGCCGACCAGTACGAGCAGCAGCAGGTGGTCCAGGAAGAAAAGAAGGGCTTCTGGTCCAAGCTCTGCTGCCAGTGATGGGCCTTGTGGCTCTTCGCGGCGGCCATGCGAGCGAGGCACAGCGCGCCCTCCCCGCCAACCAAGAGGCCTGCTCGCCTCGTGTCTCCAAGGAATACTGAGCAAAACCCCCTCCCCACAGCCAGTCACCATTTTGTTTCGAAGCTACCTCCGGCCGGCTCGTCGTAGAACGAAAGCACGCGGAGACAGAAACTCTTGAGTTAATAACATTTTGTATTCCTCCATAGACACAGTCTCGCCTACTTACTGGAGGTGTGCCCCGGGCCGGGCGCGTCACCCGCGGCCCACCACCTCCCGCCATTCGTCCGCCGTCACCTCCATCTCCGTGTAGGTCGCGGCCAAGTACGCCTCGATGTCCTGCAAGCCGGCCGTGGCCGCGGCCTTGTCGAACACCGTGCCGTGGCCCATCGACGCGGTCAACCGGTCGAGTCTGGCCTTGATGACCTCGGCCCGGTAGCCCACCCACTGGCGGTAGAAGTCCGAGTACTTGGAGCCGTAGTTGATTTCCGGCTTCACCGTGCCCAACACCGAGCCGTCGTGCTGCGCCGCGTCCCGCGCCCGGTACGACGTGACCATGGTGATGCGCTCGGTGGCGCCCACCGGCTTGGGCGCCAAGTGGCGGATCAAGCGGCCCTGCAACACCGCCGCGTGGCCCTTCTGCGGCCCGGCGACACGCGCCAACTGGCCGTCGCCCATGCGGAGATACGTCTCGCCCCCGACCATGTCCGTGGTGTCGGACAACATGAGCACGCACACAAAGGGATACGCGTCGTGGTGCCAGCCCACAATGGCCGGGATCTCCGCGTCGCCGGCCGGGCCCGGGGCATCTGCATCCGCGTCCTTTTGGGTGCCCCGGAAAAGCCGCTCGCGCTGCTCCGCCTCGTGCAGCGAGCGCTGGCGGGCCGCCGTGTGCGGGTCGGTGATGCCCACGTTGACGTGCGCAATCTCGTGGTCCATGACCACCTGCAAGTCCACGCCGGCCATGGTGGAGATCAACTGCATGGTTTCCGGGTGGGTCCAGGCCGCGTGCGTGAACGGCGTGTGCACCGTGCGGCCGTCCGACACGTAGCCGCGCATGGCGCAGTCCAAGCCGGACGTGGAGTTGTACGAGAGCCGGGCGTTGGCGAGGAACGTGTCCCTGTGCAAGATCTCCCACCGCATGATGTCCACGGCCTCGTCCGTGAACAAGGGGAACGGGTCGGACACGCCCACGGGCGAGATCTGCGTCTTGCTGGTGAGGCCCAACTCCTCCATGGTGATGCGCCGCGTGTGGTTGTACTTGTGCTGTTCGGCCGGGCCCTGCGAGTAGTACTTCAAGTGCACCAGCGGGTCGAACGACACCGCGTGCGGCTGGCCGAGCCGGGCCGAGAGCGCGGCAAACGTGCCGGCCAAGCACCGCTCGTACGTGTCTTCCGAAATGGCCTTGCGCTTGTTTCCGGCCTCGATGTCGGCGGCCAATTCGGGTGGTGCCATGGTCGCCATGGGTGGATTCATAGAGGCAAAGAATGTCCAGGGTGCGCGGGGCCAGGGCGGCGTCTTTCGGGCTGTGGGGCTCAGACGGGTGGCCAAAAAATGCAGCTTTCCGTGCTGCACACGCGGCGAGCCCGGGGCCTTTTATATGCTTTGCGTTCGGTGGGCCGTGGGCCCTGGACAGGGCTATCTATGGTGATGCTCGCGGCCCGATATGCGATGCGGCGAGATAGTGCGACGCTGGGACCCCGGATGGGTGCAAAAAGGCGCCGCTCCTGCACACAGCCCGCCGGGCCCGGGCTTTCCCTTTTTGGCGGACGGCGCCGGTCCTTGGGGCGTGGCCCGGCGGCGACCCGGACCTGGGCCAGCGGCGCTCTGGGATGAGGCCCTGTTGCTGCAATGGGAGGGTGTTGGCAGATTCGGGCACTGCCCCGTCCCTGGCTGCGCTGTGTGCAGGTCTGCGGGCTCTTTCGTGCCCGTTTCCGGTGACAAAACGCGGCTGTCCGCATAATCTATAGATAACGATAGAGGCGGGCGATTGACCTTTCACCGGTGTCCCGGGAAACGCCCGTTCGTGTATCTAGGCAGCCCAGCGGATCTGCTGCATGCTCGTCCCACTCTGAATTACCACGCCGTTGCTGCCCCTTTCTTCAGTTCCGAGATCTTGCAGTCTCTTGCCATCAGTGTCGAAGTCTAAGAAGGTCCGATGTTGGGAAATCAGTTCTTTGAATGTGCGCATCCATGCAGCCGAACCCTAATTAGCCTTTGAGCCCGCACGCCACTTTTATCCTGAAAGAGCAAAGAATGCTTGGATGCGACGGTCGCGCGCGTGGCCCAGAACATCGTCTCGGGGCCCCTATCGTGATGGTCCGGGCAGATGAGTTCGGTCGAATCCTTTTTGCAAGCCGTCGGGTTTCCTGCCTGATGAATTCGGGCAAAGCCGGTATATAATATGGAGTCAGTGGCTGATGCACTTGTGCCTGGTAACCTGGGGTAGGTGGCTACCTCCATGATGCAACTATCAATCTGCCCTTTTCTCCCGCATGTCAGACACCCTTTTGGAGCCGGTATAGTAAGTTCCCGTCACTTGCTCAGCACAACAAGGAGCCTCTTCGAGATCACTCAAGGTCCGGTCATTATTGCGGCGCCTGACCGGAGAATCCAAGGGTTGCAGTGTCGAGTGTGCATAGAGCCATGCTCGTCATCGGGCTTGCTTATCCTTGGCTTTGAAGCTAAGAGTCTATGCAACAGCTGATTGACCGGTTTTTGGCTCCCAACAAGTCTAATTCACCACTCGAAGAGTCGATCTGTAGTTCTAACGGCTGTGTTTCGAACAAAACAAGATGTTGCCAGGGCCACGGGGTTAGCTCAAATTTCATGCGACATCCTCTTTCTTTCTAACAGAGTCTTGTCCCCACAGACCACGAGTTTGTGGTGTGCAACAAGGCCACAATAACATACGGCCAGGCCGGCAGACTCTCAATCAGCTAGAGCAAGAATCGTTTGGACTGCGTTTCCGTGCTCCTCACCGCTTCCACGCGAAGCCACCGATTCTTGCTTCCTCGCTCAAATAATACAGACTTTTCTGCTTCTTGGCAGATGCGATACGAAGTACGTCACTACTCAGTCATACAGACTTGCAGAATCGGTCTGCTGAAAGCATTTGGGCCAGAAAACATGGCTCTGCGGATACCAATTGGAAATGCACAAGACGAGGTCGAATCGCAATGGTACTTTCCAAGAAGTGAGAATGCGACAGTACAAACCTTATTGTACAATTTTGCAAACATGAGAATCAGCAAGATCCCGGCTCACACAATGCCACGACTCACTACAACATATTGGATCTGGTTAGTACCCAGATGCCGATGAGTACGATCCAACTAGTCATATTCGTTCTTCCAAGCACATTGTTTCAATATAGTCGCACTAGTGGCCTTAGACTGTCCCATGTGCCATCCCAGGGCTCATAAATGAGAATGGGGTGATGTGGATTGTAGATGGGTCATACGCTTAGGGTGCACATAACAGTCACCAGACTAGCTATCTCCCTCGCAGACCATTGACATCTATCCGATCTTTTTTTTTTAACATGGGCAGTCAATTAATGCAGCCCTGATGGATGTTCTCAGGATCCTGAAATCAGTTTTGTTCGTGCTTCTTCGTTTATTCCATTGACCATAGATTGTTCGTCGAGAACCCGGAGCAACTATACTGCGCGCTTTGCAATCCATACGCTGCTGCAAGCCTGTGTGCACTTCATTTTTGAAGTCTTGTTTGCTTTAGGGGTAGACGTGTGGCTTGTGCAATATAAAATATTTCAAATTCCTGATGATTATTCCTAAATATCTAAGGGAATGAATTAAACAGCAGAGTCCTGGAGCCTCAATTTCTCAAACCAAATAACGGCCCCAACACAATTTACCGCTTATCTTGCGACCCTCATCACTATTTCATAACACCATGAGTCAAGGAAGCAATATCATCGGCAAACTTTTCGAAAAAGAAAAGAAGGAGGAAAAGTTATGGCACACCCAGCATAATGCCAACCTGGAGAAATCAGATTCTGGAGCTAGCCAGACAGCTGGTGATGACAGTCAGGCTTCAATGTCCTTTCGAAGCGACGAAAAACACCACTCACATTCCGATACAAATGGTAAAAACGCTACTTCATAAACAGTATGAATCAGACATGATTGCTCACTATTGGTGGAGGAATGGAATGAGATGGAGTGAGAACTGTATGTAGCTTTCATATTGCGAAAATGGGAATCATATGAAGTCTTTAGTAACGAGAATAAGTTTTTAAGTTGCAATGAACGAGACTACCGTTCACCGCGCCATCGCTATTCATGCACCAATTAAACTACCATATATATATATATATATATTCAGACAATGGACTAACCCTCTTCCAAAAGCAACATCCTTATTGGTAGAATAGACTAAAGACTGGAAGTATAAACATGGGCATTCAGGCATGTCGTCCGCCCGTTCGTTAGAGGGATGTATTATTTCATGATTGTAGATCGCTGCGATGTTTTAATCATGAAATATGATCTTCACTGATAGAACCTTGTACAACTGAGTCGCAGAGGGTTTTTGAACAGGAAACATACACAAGAAGGATAAAAAAGGGTTGCGGCAGTTTTTGTAAACACGCAAGCTGAACTTGTATTCGAAAGCATTTGATGAGCGAAAAGCACAAAGTTTTTTTAACAAGCGAAATAAGCCAAGCTAGGCATGTCGATTTACGAACTAGCAGAAAAAGTGTCCCATTGCGTCTTCTTGTGTTTGAGTTGTGAACCAAGCCTTTTCTGAAAGATAGAGTAATATTTCACACAGATCTTGCCCAAGAGATTCGAAGCGTTCACTTAATGTTCTGGTTACCAAATATTGGTCCCTTAAAGTCGCTCGGATGTTCATTAGTGGGAAGTGAGATCAAATTTGGACCTATGTCACATGTTCACGCTTTGAATTGAGACTGCCAATATCCATTGGACATAGACAAGCTCAGCTCTTCAGAAAAATTCGAAGATGTCACAAGTTCGGAGAAAAAGCGGACACCACAGAACATCTCTATCTAAGAAATTGAAAGCCGAGTCATCTTGAAGGCAGCTAGATCGCCAAAATTTTGTAGATACAACTTCATCAGGTTTCCCAACAAAAATTGTACGTCTCTCCTGGCTACCCATGGTAGGATAATGAAGATTTAAAGACTTCCCGGTTCCAGCCAGAGTTTCTGTGTGGGTGCATAACCCAATAAAACGTTATCCGTTTGATTGAGCCAATCATACATGAACTTACAGGGGCGGGCCCAACACATTTTCTAATATTTCGCTAGAGAACCAAAGTTAATTACTATAGGCGAGTTGCGTGAACGAGAAAGTCATTACATTAATGTTTTCAATGTTTGGTGTTTGCGAGGCGTGTGAAAGCCAAAGATGTAGCGCCCAAAAGCTGCATCAAAAAGGACTCATATGAAATAGATGAAACAATTGAGGCAAATATTTGCTTGTCATAAATAATGGAACGTGTCACATTCTTCGTTTGATAGTGGCGACGTTGAGCTCAGTGTTTGTTGATGTGGTTTCAAAGGCCTGAAAAACGGGTCACAAATTAAGATAATGCTTCACACTACCCGCTTTATCCAACAAGACATCCTTGATAACTTTTCATCAGCATAGTGAAGGCATAGAAGCTCATGGCTTATGAGTACGTTTCTGACAGCTGTTTCTAGCATACCCTCATGCATCCCTCTTGGTCTTACGCTGAACCGTTTTCAGTGACGCTGAATCCAAACTCTCTGCACATAAATTGAGGCCAGTTTGTTTGAAAGGTGTATTCCTGGGATCTGAAAAAAAAATCATTATCTGCGTTTGAATAAAACATCATCTGCAGCGACTTTGCCGTGAAAGCAAGCACCCGCGAGATTAGAGCCCCCACAAGTAAGGTCAGCCAGCACACAAGTTGAGCCATTGAATTAAACACTTACGTTGTTTTTCTGAAACAAGACAAATGATTCGCAAATCGATAGAATTGAATGTAAAACATACTCACAGAAGAGGAATTGTCACGGACAATTGAAAAGGCATGTCCTGCAGGACCAGAAGCTTGCAGCCTCTTTACTTGGAAGTGTCCACCACGTAGCGGCCCAAGATCTTGCCCTGAACCATCAACTCGTACACGCTTGGCAACTCGGACAAACCCACGACCTTGATGGGACACTTGATCAAGCCTCTGGTGAAGAAGTCAATGGCCTCGGCAGAGTCGGCTCTGTTTCCGACATAAGAGCCCTTGATGCTGACGGACTTCACCACCGACTCGAACACAGGGGCCACGACCTTGGCCCCGGCAGGCAAGCCCACCAAAATCACGGTTCCCGTGGCCCGCACGTACTCGACGGATTGCTGCATGGCCTTCTCCGACACAGACACGTTGATCACACCGTGGGGCCCGCCGTTGGTGATTTCCTGCACATCCTTGACCACGTCCAGCGACTTGAAGAAGTCCACGTAGGCCTCTGCGCCCAATGACTTGGCAAAGTCGCCCTTGTCATCTCCGCCATCAATGGCCAAAACACGGTAGCCCATGGCCTTGGCGTACTGCACGGCCAAGGAGCCCAATCCGCCGGCGGCACCGGAAATAGCCACCCACTGGCCCGCGTTCAAGTGGGCCGTTTTCAAAGCCTTGTAGACGGTGATGCCTGCACACAAGATCGGCGACACCTGTGCCAAGTCGGTGCCCCGGGGTATTTTGGCGGCGTGAATGGCGTCCGCGGTGGCGTACTGCTGGAACGAGCCGTCGTGGGTGTATCCCGACAAGTCGGCCTGGGCACAATTCGACTCGTTGGTGGTTTGGCAGAACTCGCACGAATTGCACAGCGAGTTCAACCACTTGATTCCGGCATAGTCGCCGATTTCCCAGCCCTTGACGTTTTCGCCTTTGGCCACAACCACACCTGCACCTTCGTGGCCGCCGACTAGGGGCAACTTGGTGGCCAAGGGCCAGTCGCCTTTCCAAGCATGCAAATCTGTGTGGCACACGCCCGAGTACTTGACGTTGATCAAGAGCTCGTTGGCTTTTGGTTGGGGCACGTCGATGTCCTTGTAGAGCAAAGGCCCGCCGTTGGTCTCAAAGATGACTGCTTTCTGGGTGGCTGGAATTGACATGGTTGGGTGTGCAGGGTCTTTCTGATGTGTCTTGACTGGGATGGGCCAACGACTGTTTTTGGGAAAAGTGGCTTTTTTTGGGATAAGCGGCTTGTTTTTGAAGCAATTGGTTTGTTTTTGGTGAGGTGGTTTCTAGCTCTTGCTTGGCAGATATGGATGTGTTGGCGGGAGGCCGCCCTGTTTTATAGACTGGAGGAGCCCGCTGAATTGTGGGGCACGTTGCATGGCGCGTCTGGAGTTAGGAACACGAGGAGGGGGAGGAGGCAGGCCGGCTGTGTGCAGGCCGTCCTTGGGTGGGTGTCTGCGTCTCGGGCTTAAGTGTGCAGTTGCGTTTGAGGAGATTCTTAGGGCCGAAGCGCATTCCAGCTCGGGGTTTGGGTAACACCGAGAAATGGTTGAAAACGGTGGAGACCGATCTAAGATGATTGAGCCGAATGTGCTTAGTACCCCGCCCGCGGTCGACCGCTGTTTTCAGGCAAAGGTGGAAGTGCAACAAGAGCCTGAAGCTGTGAGCCACTAATATTTGTCTCAAGTATGTGTATTTGTCTGAACTAGTAGTATCTTTCTGAGATACTTAGGTCAGGACCAACGACTGGTATCTGTCTGAGCTACCAGTTTCCGTCTCAAATACGTATAGTTATCTTAACTAGTATCTGTCTGAACTACTAGTATTTGTTTCAAATACTTGTATATGTTTGAACTAGTAATTTCTGTCTCAACTACTAGTATCTGTCTCAGCTACTAGTATTTGTCTCAGCTACTAGTATTTGTCTCAGCTACTAGTATCTGTCTCAGCTACTAGTATCTGTCTTAGCTACTAGTATATGTCTTAGCTACTAGTATATGTCTTAGCTACTAATAGCAACATGAACTACCACGATCAGTATGAACTACTACAGTCAGTCTGAGCTACTGACCATTCAGATATCCGTCACATCACTACTATCTCTGAGTTTTACCATCTACCTTCACGACGATTATCCGTCTGAGCAGTAATCTATATCCAAGCTACTACAATCGCTGGCCCGGATCTACTTATACTTCAGATCGACCAATATCCGTCTTGACCACTAATATCGGCCCCAAATACTAGCATCAGTCATAACTGCTGCTGCCTCCGGGGATTCAAAGTTCTCACCTACTAGTATTGATCTCAGCTAGCCATCTGAAATACTAAATATGTGTAGAATTTCATACCAACAGCCACCTCAAGCTCCAAAGGAAGGCTTTCAATGTCCGTCTCAGCTACTAGTTGCCGCTGTACTACAAAGATGTGTCTGAACTACAATAGTTCGGAGGTACAAATAGTTCAGAACGACTAGTGTCAGTCTCATGCCTACCTCAAAGACTTGGATCTGTCTCAGCCACCACTGTTTGTCGGCGCTTCTTTTATCTATATCGCCCACCTATAGCAGGGCGAACGACTATTTTCTGAACTGACAGCTTTCGAAACATTATCTACTATCGACAACAGTCCGAGCCACTCTCCTCCGGCAAAAGCTCGAGAGATCTTTCCATCAGTGTTGCGTGGTAGCATATTTAACAAACAAAGACGGAGCGCATCATACTGGACAAGGTGACACAAATTCAACCCCTTTATGCTTTTACTAATACATCTTGTAAATGACGGATTGCATACAACAAACAGGCCAGAATCCTGAAAGCCTCCAACATCCGCCGGAAATCTACAAGAGTGATCGGCCCTTCACAGCCTGTGTATTCTCAGCCGACCCGTCAGAGTAAAGATAAAATGGCGTAACTGTGACATCACGTGGCATTTGTCTTCTCGCTTTCCTCCCACGGTAGGTGCACGGAAGTTGGGCACGGCTTCCATGGACAAGCGAGAACGTAATGATGGGTTTTTTCTTCTATTTTTGGCGTCAGTCGGGATCTGGATTTCGGCCATGTATCCGAAAGATAGCTATAGAAATGGGTCCATTGACTAAGTCAACTGCCACGCCGTTAAAATAATAGCAGCCTATGGAGCTACAACATAACTTTGAGATTATCTCTTAACCCAAATGCCTATTATTTTTTGCTGAAATTAAATCTTTAGTGGCTGGATATTCAATGGGATTATGTGTAGTTATGAGTTGAGAAGTCTTGGTTTCTGTTGCTTCTAGATGGCCTGATCCTGACTACCAGTACACACGCGGCATTCTTGCAGCAAATGCATTCAGAGATGGTACCTGTTATCGTAATAATCTTGGTGGTGGTAAAAAGTGTTCATGTACCCTGTGACTCGCGGTCACCGGGATAAATACTCTTATCGGATCCACTAGATAATTTCAGAGACAGAACCAAGATGTATGTAAATTTATTCCATCCCTTTTAATGAGTCGCTACAAAGATTGTCAAGAATCAGATTTGTGCCGCTAAATCATATGAAAAGATTGCTATATGAATCTTTCATTTCGGATAATTAGAAGTGATTCGATCCCTCGATGACCTTTGTTATGATTGATACCAAGGCCCATCTAATCGAGATCCTCAAAAACCCGATTTATATCCAAAAGAAATAGCAAATTTGTAAGAGGGGCTTAGAGAGTTGTCCTAAGCCGAAAAATCATTGTTTGGCTACACTCATGCAATTATATGATTTAGAGATAGAGGAGCTTTTTTGGCAGATCCATCTAATTAAGGGAACAAATGTTTTATGATATCATGTACAGACGATTTCCAACAGCTCCCATATACGAACTGTGTAAAAACACTTCGGCCCACCCCCTTCCGTCAATCACGTCTTTGAAGGTCCCCTTGGCCCGCCTCAGTTTACGTTTTGGATATTACATCATCAATTCCTAGGATAAGTCTGCAATTATTTGGGGCCCCCTTTATTTCTTTGAAAATACCATTATTTTGAAGAGTGTTACTGGAGGTATCTGAAGCCCCATCCGTAACGAGAAATATAAAGAAAGAAACCTAAATAGACCGCAACATCGGCTCAAGTGAGATGGCGCGAGCACGCTTTCATGAAATCTCCCAAAGAGGATGGGACGTCAAAAAGACTTCTGCCCATAACAAATGTCAGCCACTTGAATAAAACTAACTAGCTGACATCAGCCCATAGGATATGTTTTTCTGAAGGCCCGTGGCCATAGCTCATTTGACAAGGCAACAAGACGTATGGTTTTCTTCTCATCCTGGTTCTTAAGCAAATAAGCCATGCGAACAATTTTAACAAACCAAATAAGGTTTCTTGAATTTTCAAGGGAATCATTTAAAGGAGCTATCATTTTCCTTACGTGCATTAAAGCGTGAAAGCCGTTTTTTCGCCACCATAAGTGCGCAATCTTACGCTCATAGTAGAGGTGTGTTAGCTTCTGATCGCTATAGCAGCGTTTCAAACACAAACTGCATTTGAGCCGTCACTGCCCACCTTTTTATCATGAAGGGGTATATGGGAGTCCTGATTGAATAGATGTAAGGCGGTGAGCTCCTTCTGCCCCGACCCTTTATGTTTGTGTGAGTATTTCCAAAATCTTCTCCAGCGTTTCGTCGCCTTCACTTAGGGAAAAATCAAAAGTTCGTACCAATCGAGGTATACATGCTACTAATGTTTATTCTAAGCTCTATTATGCTTTATTTTGAAGTTTTGACCATGATTTTGGTCTTTGAGTCAATTAGCGCCAAGTCTATCATATCTGTTTAACATCTCGTCTCAAATTTCCGGTTGCGGCCATACCATGGAGAACACACTGTTTCCCGTCCGATCAACGTTAGTTAAGCTCCATAGGGCCACACTGAGTAGTGTAGTGGGAGACCATATGCGAAATTGTGGTGCCGCAATCTTTTTGGATTTGGGGAATATGTTTTTTACCCAGGAAAGTTTGCCATAGATTCTTGTAATAAACAAATTCGTAGATCACGGCGTTTGCCAGTAGCATTCTTGGGGTGATGTGCCCTCATACGCATTTTACTTTCGCAATCAAAGCGGTATATATCTTAGACTAAATATTGGCGAGAGACCGAGCGAAAAAGTACAGTGATGGAGAGATGGAAAGCACTTTGAAAAGAGAGTGTCCTGCCGTCAATTCCTTTAATATTGAGCCTTGCAACCATATATCCCCCAGAATAGAAAAGCTTTGATTTCTCGCAAGGCGCTGTGCGCGTCATTTACGTGAGGCGCCGCCTAAACCTTAGTCGGCATAGTTTATGGTGAAGGCTACGATCAACTTCGATGCCCTAACTTTCGTTCTTGATTTGAGAAAATGTTCTTAAAAATGCTTTCACCTTAGTTAGTCTTCAGAAAATGTAAGAATTCCACCTCTCGCAAGTGAATACTAATATCCCGGCCGTCTCCAATAGTCATTACGATGTTACCAGGGACCAACGAAATAGGTACATCATCCTACTTTATTATTCCAAGCTAAAAGATTGAAGCAGTTGCCTGAAAGATTTGATATTTTCTCCGGTCGTAAATATTGGGGAATGCACACGGACTTGAAGATTCAGAATTGTCTTTCCATTTTCATAGATTCGGACTACTTCCGGACTTAAAGATTGTTTCCACTTTTGTGGCCTCTGAGACTGCGTTGGTTCTGTTTTCGACCAGTCAAAGCGGTCTCAAAGAATCGGCCACGTGGACATCGGATGGGCCCCGAAGGCCAAACGGCTGCTCTCAAAGAGTCCTTGGCATAGTCCTTGACTAAGTTCTTATATTTTAGCCTTCATTGGACTTTTATTAGCCCTCCACTCCACCCTTAATTAGCTCTGCATTAGCCCTCCACTTAATGCTAAATTAAGTCTTCATTGGCCCTTATTAGACCTTCTTACCCCTATACTTCTTACTTGACATATCCTGGCCTTTCAATAGCCCAATAGTCCTCCACTAACCCTTCATCAACTCCAGAATTAACCTCATTAAATTCTTCTTTAGCTTTGCACTGTCTCTCCACTAATTCTTCATTAGTCCTCTACTTAAGCCTTTATTAGTCCCTATTATCCCTTAACCAACTCTTCGTCATCCCCCCCACTATCCTACCACCGACCCTTTATTAGCCCTCCACTCCCCACCATCCGCCACCACCCCATCACAATTCCTAGCTGAGATATAAATATTCTTGCGGAATGATTATATTTACAGAAAAATTTCGAAGCTGAAGCAGGACATCAATCGATCCACACGTAGAAATGATGCCTTTGTGAAGTCGTGTGATAACGTGGTTCGACAGAACATACAGGCTTAAAAAGTCTAATCAAGGAGTGGCCAAAACCCAGATATTATCTGCAAAGAAGAATGAAGACTCAACCAGCTGTGTCCAAATTGGAAGTTCCGAGAACGGAATATTATACGACATTCAAAAAACAAGTAAAGAATGCTCACAGAAAGTAACATGCACAAAATTTATTTGCTAGATAAATCAGGGATCCTTCAATTTAAAAAGATCATAGGAATCGGGCCAGAAATGTCGCAAACATTTGAAAAAGGCTTTCAAGATCAATGTTCATACATAATCTGAAATTTCAAGTATGAATAAAAGTTTACTCATGAGAGGAAGGCTTCTTATTGATTAAAGTTCTATACGTTGGTAATTGCCATTTCATTTTAAACACAGAATGAGTTCAAGAAATGTACTACCATTAGAAGTGCAAACTTCACACGATATTTGGCTTCAACTGCAGATTACCTAAACCTGACTTGATATCACATGGCAGCTTCCTTCGCAAGTATTTTACCCTGGTATAGTGTCACACGGGATTCAAAGGCCCCTGTAAATGATATGGATTTTACAAAAAAAAACAATAAAAAAGCAAGATTGGTCTGCGTCTGAATAGTGACTTTGGGGATTGTACATTTCGGAACCCCTCACTCAGTCATCCTGCGACATGAATAAATCCTAGACTTTCTATATATTGTGCTTCGGAATACACAAATGTTTGCACGTAAAAGTAACTATAGTCTAACTGGAAAATGCTGCTATTGCAATGGATTTTCATTAATAAGCTTTTGCATTTCTGCCTATCTCCTGTGAGCGGAAAAGTTTTGATATCATATGTGAATATTAGTCTACCAGGAATCATCCTGATTGGAAGGAGTATATACACGCAGAAGAATAATGTTTTGTACATGCCTCTGTTCATAAGGAATGTAGATAGGTTTCTGGGGTTGGTTTAGTTTTATGTAAATGTTCAATAAATGGAAGAGTTGTGATCCTAATTTTATTTGTATTGGTGGACAGAGTCAGCTTGAGAATATAATGTGTCGGAAGTAAAACTTGTAGTTGATACTTAGTATTCAGCAGTACCCGTGCCTGATTGTCAATAACAACTATTTATTGCCTAATTATCTAGGATATGTGCCACTGATAAAATTTTGTAATTGAACACTAAATTATTTAGAAGGCGAGCATTTTGAGAACTTGCATTAGCGAACTAACCGACAATAAGTGTTCACTTGTATATCGTTGAGATAGATGAGTCAACCGCCATACTGGTTGGGATACATAATTAAAAGGCGAAAATACTCTCGCAATGGCCAGCCATGTTTTCGCTTTCTATGAAATAACTTTTCGTTGCACTTCATATGTTATATTCGATTCTCTCGCTGTCATAAGCTAAATCCGATTGGTGGAGTCCTTTTAATCATCCAGTCCGTCCATACGTATGTTTGTTGATAAATTTGGTTCAGCCAGTATAAGTATACTATAACTACCTACAGTTTCATTGCATGTTTTTACGCAGGATAGACTTCAACATCTATAGAAGAAGCCGCGTGCAGACTTATGCCTGAAGTTAGCGTAGTCCTTGTGTGAATACCACTAGGAGCGGAAACAGAGATGTTGATGTATTTCTGATGCGCGGCAGCAAACACGTCTCTGGGTATAGACAATATTTTGATACGGTTCAGTCTTTGGGCAATAAATCGTTTCCGAAAAAACCGTATGGATCCGATAATGTCCATGCTCCCTGTGTTATTACCTGATCGCAAGAATTTTCAGTCCAATACTTGCACCACGACAAAGGCAGTGCTGAGCGCAATTGCTACGTGACGTCACGAAGACAGTAAGACCAACGAGAGATCCGGATGGATACACGCTACAGGAATATTCACCCGACACCTTTTCTGTTCCTTAAAAGGTCAGCAATAAACACGCATATGAGTGAATTCGTGGCTGAAAAATTACAAGGTATTTATTTTGGGCCCTCTTTTGTTGTGATGAAAGTACCCGGACAGAGATAGAAGCAAAGCGTTAAGTAATAATAACTACTTTTCTGACCATTAGTAAGAACAACAGATCCTTGATCTGTAGACGTATAATTTATATATATATATATATATATATGTATATAATATTCGAAAATATGGGTCTTTGTATACCAACCAGCTAAGAAACAATTCCTATGTATGAAAGAGATACGGTCAAGCTGAAAACTGTATGTTCGTGAACTTTATCCTTTGTCATGATTCTTGAAACTTGATGATCGATGCCCCAAAAAGAACGTAAATATCACTCTCAATGTATCTTATGAAATTTCAAAGATCAGTGTAAGGTCCCTGGTAGCACTGAGTGTTCATGTAAGCGTATATATGAGTATATGCAATTCCATTATCATTTTGAACAACTCATTGAATGTTCTCCCAAATTCAAGAAATTGTTTTCACGTGAACTCCCGATAAAGTATTAATCGTGGAAATTAACTCCTGTAGAGCTCTAGAGAAACCAGTGATCAAATGGTAATTCAGATACATTTATGCCATGCGAAGTTCCTTACAAATACTTTAGGGTTGTATGGTAACCACGATTTGTCTAAGCGCAAAACAATTACCAGGAAATTGGAATTTATAATCATTACTGGCTGGTATTCTAGATGGTCTAATGATTCCTTGTCGTAGACCACCACCTTAGGTGAAAATGTGATTATGCACACTCTTTAAATTCAACATTTTCTATTCTGGTATGAGTGCATAGCTTTCAGGACCTACCTATGGTTTTTGATTTTCTTTTAATACCTAAAGATATGTTGCAATCCAAATCGCAAGTGTTTAGCAGAAATTTCAAGATATTTGGAGTATGCTTCTTTCTACTCAACGATATGAAAGCCCAATGTTTTGCTTTTCGTGGTGCATTACCTAGAGCTTGTAAAATGAGTAGATTTTCAGCCCGTAGTATAAACTTGACATTGGCTGTGCCCCGTAAACGCATATAGGGTCTATATGCGTGCCCTTCATTAAAAGTTGTCAAATACCATTTTGAGCGAATAATATAGTATCTTTTAAAGTCAAAGGAGCTCCGTTCACGTATCTCCCAAACGAAGTATATGAAGATAGTTAGGAACTCACGTGGAGGTTTGGAGAAACCAGTGAATAATAGGAATACAAATACCTTAATGCCTCGCAGTCCCTCACAGAAGCTGTCAGCTTGATAATTGGAATCCATCTAAAAAAATTTACAATCTGTTTGAGAAACAAAATTGAGGAATCATGGATGAATAATTATCGTTAACAAAGCCTCATAGTTTAAGCTTTTGTGAATTCAGGCAACTTCTGTAATAGGCTGCTGAATTATGCTGCGAGTGTCTTTTGTCAAAATTGTTCGTGAGATTGAATTATAGGATAGAAGAAAAGTCCTATGAATCACGTGACCAGGTTTACACAACACTTAATTATGAGAAAACATGGTTTTTGCTGAGAATAGGGCTGCTACCAATCACCATCACCCCTTGACTATAGTGTTGCACATTGTATACTGTAACTGATGCAGCACTATTTGTGACTTCTGTTCGTCTTTCAGTATTGCAGTCATGGTCACGTGAACGAAAAATGAGTGAATTTTGTCTATACAGGTAGGCTTTCGCCCCGTACGCCTTAGTTATGAAGTCTCCCAGAAGATTCCGAGACGCAAAAAAGAGATTTTTCGGATTAGCTACAGGTTTCATAGGGAAGCAACTACAGTCTATTTCAACTCCTTTCAATGCAATTATTTCTTTATTTGATTTTGATGCAAAGACTCGACGCAAGTAGGGAATAAATGTTAGCCAATAGAAAGAGACTGAAAAGCGAGATCCAAACAAACAATGTCTCGCTAGTACACAGTTATTTTCTATTGTGCATCTCACATTCGAGCACACACTCGAATTAGACGGAAAACATAAGATACAGGTGCATTTGTGGTAGTATGAGCCCTTAGTTTCTGGCACACATTCGTCTGATTTCAAAATTTGAGTTAAATTGTTTCTGAGTATAAAGTATAAGTTTCTCTACTGATGAATAAATACAGTCAAGTCGTGCTTTTGTGGCCTTGATTGTTCATAAATACAAAGTTTTTTTCTTCCGCCTTTTCCGATTTCAATCTCAAAGGTTCTGTTACAGGTAAAACTATTGTTGCTTATTTTTTGAATCCATGCACTAAAGTTTGTTTCATGCACAATAGCATATATACTTTTAGGATACACAAGTTTTAGGCGATCAAAGCTTCACTGTTGTATTGGGAAACTGGAACAATCAAGAAGGGGCATCTTGGTTTTTATAAATCCCGAATGGAGCGGGGAACAATAATATTGCAATGTTAAGTGTGACCATCAAGCGAAACGTTTACTGCTACCGCTTTTAAGCTCTCTGTCTAATGTTTGCTCAGTTTTAGCCTTAGAACTCTCACGTAATGACAATAATGGTGATGATGACGATGATGATGATGATATAGTTAGCATTCCTCTATAGCAGAAACACAAAATGTACAAAACAAGGGTAAATTCTTCTCTTTCTATCACTCCATCAAAATACAAATACCACAAAAAAATAATATTTTTTACCACTATTGCCTCAATTACTTTGACCTTTGCCGGAGCAGCGGCCAGATCTGGTTTCCTTTCCATCAGGCCTGTTAGTGGAAACGATGGACGCATTCCCGCTTTTTTACATGTTTCCAAGAAACAGAATTTGCATACAAGAAAGCTTCGGAGTTTATAGTGGATGATGGATTTGTGAAGCATGAAAAAGACAACTTGTATATCAAGGCTGATGAGAAAGGAAGGATCGTCACGACTGATTCAACTCTTAATACATTTAAACTTAAGTATGGCAAAGATCTTTATTTGAGCTCTAAGGGAAATATCTT